TGGGGAAGTGTTGTCAGGCAGTCCAATCCGGGGAGATTTCCCTGCGCTCCTGGTGAGAGCTCATCCTGGAGGGGGCTTTTGACGCTGATCAAGAATTCACGAACAGGTCTGATGAGTATAGGTAAGGAAGGAATTCATTAGAGTGAGAGTAGTAACGTATGGCAGCTGCCCTGCAGGCAGCTGAGAGCTGGGAAGTGCAGAGGGAAGGAGGGAATGTTTGCTGAACTCCTTCTCAGCCTAGGACAGATTCTCTTGCCAACTCCTGAAGCCAGGAGTGAAGCCCAGTTAATGATAACTTCACAGCACGTTACCTGCCTTGACACCGTCCAGGCACTCTAAAACAAATGTATGTCCAATATAACCAGAAAATGCATTATATATAATATAGGGATAAAAAAAAACTTCTACATGAGAAGCAATATGAATAAGACAGGGAAATTCCTCACATCATGATTGAGATTAATTGGTTTATTTAAGAAGACTTTCAAGGGGATAATGAAATGAGAGGTTTGTTTATGTGAGATGAATAGCCATGTTTTGGGAAGAAAATGGGTAAGTTTCTGTTTAAAAGCTTTGTGGCTTCCAAAGCATTTCAAGTTCTTGTTCCAGCCCCCATCCCCCAACCCAGTCTCATCTTGTATCAGATCCTTAACTTCAGCTACTGGCCTCTATCAGTCCTGGAGCCCCCCTTGTCCTCTCTTGTCTTTTCCCCATGACATTGACATTTTGGAAAATCCAGGTCAGTTGCTTTGTAGAATGTCACATACGCTAGATCAAGTGTGCACATAATATGGCCTGTTTTCGTACAGCACTAGAGCTAAAAATAGTTTTTACATTTTTAAAGGGTTGTAAATAGAAGAGAAAAAAGAAGGAAAAGGAGGAGAATGAGAAGGAGGGTCAGGGGTAGTTATGTGATGGAGACCATTATGGCCTGCAAAGCCTATAATATTTACTATCTGGCCCTTTACAAAAAATTTTCTCAACTCTGTTCTAGATCTTTCTGTTTCCTCATATTACTTGGTTTGTATGTCAGTTGTTGGAAATTGGAAATTAGATCTAGGACTCTGCTATCCAACATGGTAGTTACCAGCCACATGTGGCTGTTGGGTATTTGACATGTGGCTAGTTGAAATTAAGGTGTGCCATCAGCATAAAATACACACCAGGTTTCAACGTTTTAGGATGAAAATACAAGGGTAAAATACTTTCCTTAATGATTTTTATATTGACCACTATGTTGAAATAATAATATTCTGGATATATTGGTTAAATAAGGTGCATCCTTAAAACTGATGTCACCTGTTTCTTTTCTCAATGTGGCTACTGGAAACCTTTAAATTACTTACACATGTGGTTCACATTATATTTCCACTGGACAATGCTGGCCTAGAGCCTTGATTAAAATCAGGTTAAATATTTTTGGCTGGAGCACTACATAGCTGATCTTTTATACATTATATTGCATTCTAGTATGAGACACATCAATTTGTCCCATTATTCATGCACTTGGTTGGGTAACTTGATTAAGGGGTGACTGAGATGTATGTATCTTCACTGAAGAGCTGCATTCTCCCCTTCTCAATTTGTACTCTGTTTTAACTATGAGACTTAACTGGTTTCTCTGACTTTTCACTGAATGGTTTTAGTATCTTTGGTGGTCCTTGGTTGAATCAGTTCGTATACTAGGGATTGGAAACGAGAGTTTTATACTTTTAGAATTTTGTTTTAAATTTCTTAGCTGGCATTTTTTTCTTCCTTTCCTTTTTTTTCTTTCTTCCTTCAAAAGTTTTTTTAGAGAGTATCACAGTGGACACATTGATTTTGATTTGCTCCATGTGTTACAATCAAGTACAGTCATTATTCTTTTTGACACTCAAATTTCTCTTAATTTGGCTGATGGGAGGCCCTTCAGGCTGACTCCTAAAACCTTCAATCATAACCCCATTGGTTTTTGAGTGCTTCTTTGCCTCTAGTACAAGAAGTCTCAGGCCTACTTTTTACTTAGCCTGTTTGGAAGTAGCATCAGTTATTTCTTAAGAAATGAGACTCCATTTCTTTTAGTAAGAAATGGTATTCCAAAACTAAGATTAGAGTAGTAGTAGATATGATTAGAATTACTGGGGTGACACTGCTTTCAGACTTTCAGTAGACAGAGCTACAACATATATTTTAAGAAATCACAAACTCATATTGATGTTTCCAATTCAAGTTTAATATTGTAGGCACTTAAAAAATGTTTTATGCTTACATTTCTTTTCATATACATTAAATATCTTCATTTGATAAAATGTGAAGACATTTACTTACTTGCTTTATCTGGCAACACATTTCAAAATTAAATAACTGCATTACAACTAAACTAACCATAGTGTGTGGCAAAGTTTAAAATTACTTTGTAGATCTTTTGTCCTCAGAATATAACCTACTAAGGATATATAGTCAGAGTGACTTAAAAATATTTATTCAAAGTATTCAAAAATAACTTGAAGTAATTATTTTCCCTGAGAGGTTATTTTATATATTTGACAGACAGTTTCATTCCATTCTGTTAGTGTTCAGTTTTAGATTTAGATTTTTGTTTATTTTTGAATATGTGAAATTGAATGTCTTAGACATCACAGCCATTGTAAAAAATTAAACTCAGCAATCTTGTTCCCATATGTGTCTCCTCTGACCTGTCTCTACCTATCTGTTGGTAGTTACTTTAATTGATTTCTGGTTTATCTTTCCTCTTTTCCTTTTTTGTTTGCAAAAACAAGCACACACACATACACATACCTAAAACTATATGTGTTGTTTTATGTCTTGCTCTTTCTTATTCAACACAGTATCTTGGAAATCCCTCCCTGAGTTTATAGAGATCTTCCCCATTCTTTTTTTTTTAATTGCTGAAAAATTCTACTATGTGAGTATACCATAGTTTATGCAATAAATCACTCACTGATGCACACGGCTGCTCTTTACAAATATTTGCTACTATAAACATCACCCAGTGAATAACATACATCTTACATGTATGTTGTTTTGTGTTTGTGGAAATGTAGCTTCAGGGTAGATCCAGGAATCTTATTTCCAGAAACATTCCAAGTGATTTTGATGCTCAGCCAGGCTTGCGTGCTCTTGCTTACTGTATATGGTACAAACGGTATCCAGAACCCTAGAATTGTTAACATTTCTTTTTTTTAAAGAGGAAACAACAGGTAAAGGAGCAAAGTTCTCACCATCCCGAGTCCTCACCTCCACTACCTAGCAGAATGCCATTGAATTAAATGAACAGGAACTTAATACCTGGAGACTTGTGCCCAGAGCACTGTGTTGGTAACAAGAATATCCTATGTATACACACATAAGTGGCCCAGATTTGGGTAGCATGTAACTTCCAGTTTGGTTATGATGAGTCTGAAGTAGCCAAGGGGTGTCCAGTATGGTATCTATTAGGCGGTTGTTTTACAGGTTTGGAGATTAGATTAGGAGTCATTAGCAGAACAGGTGAAGTGACAGAATAGGTGAAGTGAGGGAAAGATTAGAATGAGAAGGTGCATAGGATGGAACCATGGAGAATACCAGTACTTAAGTGGGCAGCAGAGGAGACCAAAGAAATTACAAGTGGTCAGGAAGGTAGGAGGAAAACCTGAGAAGACAGGTCATAAAAGCCCAGGGAGCAGAGTGTTACAAGGAGAAAATAGTTTCAGTTGTAAATACTGTTGAGAGATGAGGTAAGACAAAGACAAAAAGGTATCCATTGGACTTAGCAATAATGGGCAAAGCAGATTCAAAGTTGGGGTGGTAACAGGAGCTATTGTGAGTGTTAAGGAAGGATTCAGTCTCATAGAGATGATCCTTGACGACACTGGAGTTTGGTTAGTTGCAACCAAGAATTTTTGCAACAAAAGTGGATATTTATACCCAAATGAAAAAGTCAATTTTAGTATTTTCTCCCATAAATATTTCTTAAATCTTATGGTGCTGCCTATTATCTATCCATATTAGAATCTAGCATAAGATGCTTTGGGATTTAGCAGACATTGCTTAGTTATTTTAGGTTTATTAGTAGTAGAGTATTTTCATAATAATTAGTATCAAAAATAGTAATGTAGTGATATATTTTATGGTGTTCCTCAAATACTACTGTGAGTTCCAAATATTATCCCCATCAAGTATGGGAACCGTGGCTACAGAACCACTCATCTTTCTCTTTCACTTCCCTATTCCCATCCCTGTCTACACTCTGGCTGTAAGTAGATGCTTTTTTTTGCCCCTCTGTGAGCAGGCTGTAGCCCAGCTTAGAAGTTGGGTAGACCGGGGTGTACTAACAGAGGAAAAACTGAAAAGGACTCTGAATGTCATCCAAACTAGTAGTTTCTAAACCTGGCTGAGCATCAAAATGGACAACCAGGACATGTATTAAAAAGACGGAATCCTGGGTCCATGCCCTAGATTTTGATACAGTGGCTATGGAATGGGGCCTGAATATCTGTACCTTGAAGAAGTGCTTTTGGAAATAAACTCCTTAAGGAAGTTCCAACTCAAAGGAGTCACGACTAGACGCGTGTGCGGATTGGAGATTTGCAGTTCTGTGCTTTGGACGGTGCGGCCCGTCCTGGAGAGCCTCTGGGCTTTCGTCTTGCGGGACCTGGGGAGGGCTCGCTTTTCTGGGTTCTCTAGGCTCAGCAGACGTGGCTTTCCCCGCGGTGCTCTCTCCGAAGGGGATGCGGTGCGCTAGCAGTTCTGCAGGTGCCCTGACCGACCCGCTGGTTTCCTGCACGCACCTCTCGGACGCTTAAATGTGGTTGCGGAAGCCACAGAGCAGGAACCACTCTCCGCTCGCCCCCTCCGCCCGCTACGTCCCATCCCCCGCCGCGCTGGAGACCTGGGCGGAGCCTCGCCTCCACCCCGCCCCGCCCCACCCCGCACGCCGGCGGCTCGGGGGCGTTCCCGGAATCTGTCGGTCTTACAGTCGCCGAGCTGATTGGCTGATCATGGCCCTCTGGATCCACGTTGTCCCGGGTTGGGGGTACGCTCGGGAGAGGATATGGCCTGGTGGAATCATTGCTTGCGTGAACTGCAGGGACCTCTGCTCCCTCCCAAGGACCTGGGGGAGGAAGACGATGACTCTTTGCAGGAGGATGTGGAGGAGGGTGAAGACCAGTTGTTTGTGGACGCCGAGGAGCTCTGCAGTGGGGGCGTCAAGGCTGGCAGCCTCCCCGGGCGCCTCCGCGGTGAGAAATCACCTGCCCCTGAGGACTGGGATTAGGGGGATGCAGGAAGTGTTTCCCATTCTGGCTTTGTCCTAAATTGGCGCCCAGTCGTTGCTTACAGACTTCCTTTGGGATGGCCTATCTGTTTCGCCTTACTTAGGTTAAAATAATAATAGTAATAGCTGTGACTTTAAAACTATTGCATGTTAAGTTTGTGCTCTGCACATATTATCTCGTTTAATGTTCACAACTCTGAGATAGTTTTATAAAAGTGGATTTGAGCCTGTATTCACACCCAGAATCAGGGCTTTAACCTATGACCTTATTCTGGAGTCAAATATGTGGCTGTTTTTCAACTGCTAAGAAAACACACACTCACAAGAAACACCTTAAGGTATGGCTGATTCATTAACTTTGTGTTAATAACCTTGTGATCCGTTGTTTACCTTGTGTAGTTTCCCCTGCTGTATTACATCTATTATGTGAACGTTGTGTTTTACGTGGTTATTTTAACGTGCAGACCAGTGCTGTCCAGTAGTATCCTGTGTTGATGGCTTTGTTCTATATTAGTACTGTCCAGTACAAGAAGCCACTAGCCACATGTGGCTATTGAGAGCTTGCAATGCAGCTAGTGCAACTGAGGGGCTAAAATTTAAATTTAAATTTAATTGCAACAGGATAATTAAATTTAAATGTGAGTGGACAGCACAGGTTAGAAAATTTCAGGTATTTATGGAGGGTTTAGTCATTTATTCTGAAAGTGTTAGTGACTGGTGATTATGTTCCAAGTAAGGTGCTTGTTGCTGGAATACCCTGAAGAAGTAAGATGATGAGTTTGCTGTCCTAATTAATGGAGCCTACCCTGTAGTGAATTAAACTGACATTCTTTAGATAATCACACAAGTAACTATAATATTACTTAGTACTTAAAAGGAATAGTAAGTAGTGATATGAGAGGTTATATTCATGAGATTGAAGGTGGTCTTTTCTGAGGAAATGGCAATTGAGCTGAGGTCTGTAGGAAATGGGGTAAATAGTAAGGAAGAGAACATTTAAGGCAGATGGAACAGCTCATGCAAAGACCATGTGGTGGGAAGGACCACGGCATTTTTTAGAAATTGCAGGGTGGTCAGTATTGGCTGAGGTCAGATTGACAGAGAGAGGACTGATTTTAGAAGAGAAATAGCAGACATGGTACATGCCACATACCGTGTTTAACTCTTGGAGTACAAAGACAAATGAAACATTTGTACTATTCTAGAGAGCTTACACGGAGTGGTAGATTTGATAAGACATTGGGAAAGAGGTTTTAAAATATCCTAAATTAACTTTTTTTTTAAGTTGTAATTTTTGATGAAAACACTCAAGAGATATGTCACGTGTTTGGACGTTTTCCAATGAACAGTCCTTGGTGGCGTGTGAAGGTCCAAGTGAAGCCCATGGGATTGAAGAGATACCAAGTTCAAGGATTTCCATCTTACTTTTTACAGTCTGATATGTCACCACCAAATCAAAAACATATCTGTTCCCTCTTTCTTAAAGACTGTGAAGTCTCCAGTGATAATATAAATAAGTTTTTAGCATGGGTAAGTGATGTATCAAGCTATAAAGATCTCAACTTTGAAAATATTAGGGAAACATTAAGAACTTTCCAACAGAAAATTGGAAGGAATGGTCAAAAACAGTCTACACAGAATAAACAGGAACAGTCATCCCCAGATTGTGAGACGTGCTGTCCTCTGGAAAGCACAAGTAAGTGTGATCTTTATCAAGTTTTGCTGTAATTAAGATACTTAATGATGAGTGTGTTTGAAGTATTACCAGTAGAGTATCTTGTAACAGTACTCTTTTTTTAAATTGGTGGGATTAAAATGTGTATTGTTTTTGGAGTATGTCATTGACATTCCAGGTTTCTCATTTTTAACATAAAGAGATTGGGTGAGACGATCTTTAAGCTTCTTTGGTTCCTTTTCAGCTCTAGAACTCTGATTCTCTCTCTCTCTAACTTTTGTATTCATAGGATTACCTTTGAGTCATTAAGAAAAAGTTAGCTGTCTATGATTCCATTTAAGAAGGCAGAAGAGAAAGGCGAGAATATGAGTAATCCATTTTGGAAAGATTTCAGTCCAAAATGGTTTAAAAAATGTTTAAACATGCTTTGTTGTCTGGACATTCACATATATGGAGTATTTTATTTCTTAGTTACATCAAAAAATTTGTCATACATCACTGAGTGACTTAATTGACAAAAGAATCATGGGTACAGTTAGAAAAATGATTATAAAAGTTAATATGTAAATGACTTTTTTTTATGCTTAGCCTTAAATTTATCTTTATATGTAGTCAAAATTTTTATTCTGATTATATTCCCAGCAAAAGGAAGCAAAAGGCTAAGAAGCAGTTAATGTGAGCATTTAAAGATGTGAATTTTGGTGTTAAGCACAATGAAAACCATCTCAGTAAAAAGCAATTGTTATAAGATCAATGTTCTTCCTGATTAAAGTAAATCTCTTTCTTTCTGGGATTTCTTGAACTGCTTGTGCTACATAAGAAAGTCTATCAAATCAGTTCTTCTATGACCTCATTTGTATATTTTGATTTGTTTTTTTCTGATATCCTGTAGTTCCATTTATAACTGTAATGAGAGCTTTGAAGTTTCCCAAAATCATGGAATTCCTTCCAGTTCTTCTGCCTCGACACTTCAAATGTCTCATAAGTTCAGGTTCTAACGAGGTCTTGGAAGAGATAGAAGAGATTTTAGGTACACATCCATGGAAACTTGGATTTAGCAAAGTAAGTAAGATATTTGCTTGGCACTTAGTAATTTTGTATAAGGCAGGATTTCTTACACTTGACAATTTTTACACCTCTTTCAAAGGAAAAGAAAAACTGTGTGGGCCTCAGTTTTCCTTTGAGTGTTACAACTAAATATAAACTTTTATGCCTATAGTTATACAAAAAATTTATAAAGGAAAACAAAATAACAAAATTTATGACCTTCAAATGAGTTATATAAAATAGCTGAATAGACTTTTTTTGTAACTGACTTGTCATTTGCAACTTGAGTCTAGATCTCATTGAAGACACAAAGTTCTTAAGAATTTGGCAAGTACATGCTGCTGGGCAACTCTTCCTTATTTCCTGTTTGAACTTCTGAAAACTTTTGTTATTTGGTACATCATGATATCATTTGATTTTTTTTTTAATTTGGCAGAATAATATTGTTTTCAAATGAATCCACTTCTATTCTTATTATTAGAGGTCAAGAGTAGTGAAGTGGCATTTTGAAGCTCCAGTAACATTAGAAACCAATTGTGGCACTTAAATGCTTGGTTATAGGTGGTTTCCCAAATGAAAATACAATTTAACAATTCTGGATCCCCCAAAATGCTTACAGTGCCTCTCCCTCAACCTCCAATTGGAGAAATACTGGAATAATGAATTTGTTCCGTACATAAAATGACTACGATTTCAGTATGCTTTGAAAAATAAGAATCTGGAATATTAGATTATCATATATATTTATCCGGTAGAGAAGGGAGGGGGTAAAACAAAGAGCTTTTGGGCCTCAAGTGGGAAAAGGGAGTTTAAAGTCCTATTGTTGAGCATGTAAACCACCACCAGAATAAAGACTTTTTACTCAGGTATTGCACTATATTTGTAGTTTGTGTTGTATATTGTATGTTGTTTGCTAGGTCGGCTAACCCCTAAGTCTAAACACCATTTTCTGGGGGTCTTAAGCAGCAGAAATTTATTTTCTAACAGTTCAGGGGGCTACAAGTTCAAAATCACGGTGTTGGCAGGGCTGGTTTCCTCCGAAGCCTCTGTCCATGGCTTGTAAATGGTTCCTCTCCCTGTGTCTTCAACATGGGCTTCCTTCTGTGCCTGTGTCCTACTCTTCTCTTCTTAGAAGGATACCAGTCACACTGAATTAGGGTCCACCCAGTGACCTCATTTTAACTTAATTACCTCCTTAAAGACCAATCTCCAAATATGCTCACATTCTAGGGTAGAGGGGAGGGTCAGGATTTCAACATGAATTTGGGGGAGGACACATTTCAGACCAAAAGATCTAAAAAAAATATATATATATATATAAATAAAATGGAACCAGTGGATGACCTACTGTGTGGATCATGTCTGGACCTCTGCAGTGGAGTTTGAGCAGAATTGGTAATATGTACATTGGAAACTAGGTAAGCCAAGAAATTAAGACAGCCATCAACTTCACTATAACACACCAGTAGTCAATGTAAAAGTTAATATAATCCTAGTACAGCTTGTCCCTCAGCTGTGAATCCTATTTACACTGATTGAACCAAAATTGATTAACAAAATGTATACTGCAACTTTTTTCAAAGGTGGGAGGAAGAGAAACGTGTGAACATGATGGTTTATATAAAAGAGAGCTTCCATAGAGAAAGACTTTCCATAGAGGTAGTCATATTAAATATCTAACATTAAAAAAAAAACCAAGGAATAGTATAAAAAGCTCTTAGAAATGTAGAGATAAATTCTGGAAGAAATAAAGTATTGAAATGCTATCTTCAGAAGGCATGGAAGGGTAAGTGGGGGCTTTTTTTTTTGCAATAAACTTCAGAGTGTTATTTGACTTTTACTACTGAATGTGTATTGCTTTGAGACAATGTAATTTTAATAAAAAAATTATATAGATCTCATCACAGTACAGTAAAACAAATTAGTTATGTATTAGGTACATAGTTTTTTTCTCCAAATTTAGTTGAAAATACATGTCTTCTTGGACTTAAATAAAAATAACATAGGTTTTACTTTAATTCTAATAATATTCATCAACACTTACAATTTTTATAAACAACTTGAACTGTATTTCCTTAAAGATAACCTACAGAGAACTGAAGCTTTTACAGTGTGAAGCGAGCTGGCCAGCATTTTGTCAGTGCAAGTCTCTTCTCAAATTGATAACTGATCTGGAGAAGAATGCGTTAATAATATATGCTACGCTGAAGCAGATCTGTCGAGAACATGGGCACACATTTGTTGAAGAAGCTGACTTGACTTCTCAACTGTTAGGCCATATGTCTTTCCATGATGTTTGGCAGTCTCTGAAGTTTTTGAAGGATATTGGTGTGGTGACGTATGAGAAGTCCTGTATCTTTCCTTACAGCCTTTACCAGGCTGAAAGACGCATTGCCTCTTCAGTATGTGAGCTGATGATGAGGCCTCCATGGCATTTGCNCCACCCCGCCCCGCCCCACCCCGCACGCCGGCGGCTCGGGGGCGTTCCCGGAATCTGTCGGTCTTACAGTCGCCGAGCTGATTGGCTGATCATGGCCCTCTGGATCCACGTTGTCCCGGGTTGGGGGTACGCTCGGGAGAGGATATGGCCTGGTGGAATCATTGCTTGCGTGAACTGCAGGGACCTCTGCTCCCTCCCAAGGACCTGGGGGAGGAAGACGATGACTCTTTGCAGGAGGATGTGGAGGAGGGTGAAGACCAGTTGTTTGTGGACGCCGAGGAGCTCTGCAGTGGGGGCGTCAAGGCTGGCAGCCTCCCCGGGCGCCTCCGCGGTGAGAAATCACCTGCCCCTGAGGACTGGGATTAGGGGGATGCAGGAAGTGTTTCCCATTCTGGCTTTGTCCTAAATTGGCGCCCAGTCGTTGCTTACAGACTTCCTTTGGGATGGCCTATCTGTTTCGCCTTACTTAGGTTAAAATAATAATAGTAATAGCTGTGACTTTAAAACTATTGCATGTTAAGTTTGTGCTCTGCACATATTATCTCGTTTAATGTTCACAACTCTGAGATAGTTTTATAAAAGTGGATTTGAGCCTGTATTCACACCCAGAATCAGGGCTTTAACCTATGACCTTATTCTGGAGTCAAATATGTGGCTGTTTTTCAACTGCTAAGAAAACACACACTCACAAGAAACACCTTAAGGTATGGCTGATTCATTAACTTTGTGTTAATAACCTTGTGATCCGTTGTTTACCTTGTGTAGTTTCCCCTGCTGTATTACATCTATTATGTGAACGTTGTGTTTTACGTGGTTATTTTAACGTGCAGACCAGTGCTGTCCAGTAGTATCCTGTGTTGATGGCTTTGTTCTATATTAGTACTGTCCAGTACAAGAAGCCACTAGCCACATGTGGCTATTGAGAGCTTGCAATGCAGCTAGTGCAACTGAGGGGCTAAAATTTAAATTTAAATTTAATTGCAACAGGATAATTAAATTTAAATGTGAGTGGACAGCACAGGTTAGAAAATTTCAGGTATTTATGGAGGGTTTAGTCATTTATTCTGAAAGTGTTAGTGACTGGTGATTATGTTCCAAGTAAGGTGCTTGTTGCTGGAATACCCTGAAGAAGTAAGATGATGAGTTTGCTGTCCTAATTAATGGAGCCTACCCTGTAGTGAATTAAACTGACATTCTTTAGATAATCACACAAGTAACTATAATATTACTTAGTACTTAAAAGGAATAGTAAGTAGTGATATGAGAGGTTATATTCATGAGATTGAAGGTGGTCTTTTCTGAGGAAATGGCAATTGAGCTGAGGTCTGTAGGAAATGGGGTAAATAGTAAGGAAGAGAACATTTAAGGCAGATGGAACAGCTCATGCAAAGACCATGTGGTGGGAAGGACCACGGCATTTTTTAGAAATTGCAGGGTGGTCAGTATTGGCTGAGGTCAGATTGACAGAGAGAGGACTGATTTTAGAAGAGAAATAGCAGACATGGTACATGCCACATACCGTGTTTAACTCTTGGAGTACAAAGACAAATGAAACATTTGTACTATTCTAGAGAGCTTACACGGAGTGGTAGATTTGATAAGACATTGGGAAAGAGGTTTTAAAATATCCTAAATTAACTTTTTTTTTAAGTTGTAATTTTTGATGAAAACACTCAAGAGATATGTCACGTGTTTGGACGTTTTCCAATGAACAGTCCTTGGTGGCGTGTGAAGGTCCAAGTGAAGCCCATGGGATTGAAGAGATACCAAGTTCAAGGATTTCCATCTTACTTTTTACAGTCTGATATGTCACCACCAAATCAAAAACATATCTGTTCCCTCTTTCTTAAAGACTGTGAAGTCTCCAGTGATAATATAAATAAGTTTTTAGCATGGGTAAGTGATGTATCAAGCTATAAAGATCTCAACTTTGAAAATATTAGGGAAACATTAAGAACTTTCCAACAGAAAATTGGAAGGAATGGTCAAAAACAGTCTACACAGAATAAACAGGAACAGTCATCCCCAGATTGTGAGACGTGCTGTCCTCTGGAAAGCACAAGTAAGTGTGATCTTTATCAAGTTTTGCTGTAATTAAGATACTTAATGATGAGTGTGTTTGAAGTATTACCAGTAGAGTATCTTGTAACAGTACTCTTTTTTTAAATTGGTGGGATTAAAATGTGTATTGTTTTTGGAGTATGTCATTGACATTCCAGGTTTCTCATTTTTAACATAAAGAGATTGGGTGAGACGATCTTTAAGCTTCTTTGGTTCCTTTTCAGCTCTAGAACTCTGATTCTCTCTCTCTCTAACTTTTGTATTCATAGGATTACCTTTGAGTCATTAAGAAAAAGTTAGCTGTCTATGATTCCATTTAAGAAGGCAGAAGAGAAAGGCGAGAATATGAGTAATCCATTTTGGAAAGATTTCAGTCCAAAATGGTTTAAAAAATGTTTAAACATGCTTTGTTGTCTGGACATTCACATATATGGAGTATTTTATTTCTTAGTTACATCAAAAAATTTGTCATACATCACTGAGTGACTTAATTGACAAAAGAATCATGGGTACAGTTAGAAAAATGATTATAAAAGTTAATATGTAAATGACTTTTTTTTATGCTTAGCCTTAAATTTATCTTTATATGTAGTCAAAATTTTTATTCTGATTATATTCCCAGCAAAAGGAAGCAAAAGGCTAAGAAGCAGTTAATGTGAGCATTTAAAGATGTGAATTTTGGTGTTAAGCACAATGAAAACCATCTCAGTAAAAAGCAATTGTTATAAGATCAATGTTCTTCCTGATTAAAGTAAATCTCTTTCTTTCTGGGATTTCTTGAACTGCTTGTGCTACATAAGAAAGTCTATCAAATCAGTTCTTCTATGACCTCATTTGTATATTTTGATTTGTTTTTTTCTGATATCCTGTAGTTCCATTTATAACTGTAATGAGAGCTTTGAAGTTTCCCAAAATCATGGAATTCCTTCCAGTTCTTCTGCCTCGACACTTCAAATGTCTCATAAGTTCAGGTTCTAACGAGGTCTTGGAAGAGATAGAAGAGATTTTAGGTACACATCCATGGAAACTTGGATTTAGCAAAGTAAGTAAGATATTTGCTTGGCACTTAGTAATTTTGTATAAGGCAGGATTTCTTACACTTGACAATTTTTACACCTCTTTCAAAGGAAAAGAAAAACTGTGTGGGCCTCAGTTTTCCTTTGAGTGTTACAACTAAATATAAACTTTTATGCCTATAGTTATACAAAAAATTTATAAAGGAAAACAAAATAACAAAATTTATGACCTTCAAATGAGTTATATAAAATAGCTGAATAGACTTTTTTTGTAACTGACTTGTCATTTGCAACTTGAGTCTAGATCTCATTGAAGACACAAAGTTCTTAAGAATTTGGCAAGTACATGCTGCTGGGCAACTCTTCCTTATTTCCTGTTTGAACTTCTGAAAACTTTTGTTATTTGGTACATCATGATATCATTTGATTTTTTTTTTAATTTGGCAGAATAATATTGTTTTCAAATGAATCCACTTCTATTCTTATTATTAGAGGTCAAGAGTAGTGAAGTGGCATTTTGAAGCTCCAGTAACATTAGAAACCAATTGTGGCACTTAAATGCTTGGTTATAGGTGGTTTCCCAAATGAAAATACAATTTAACAATTCTGGATCCCCCAAAATGCTTACAGTGCCTCTCCCTCAACCTCCAATTGGAGAAATACTGGAATAATGAATTTGTTCCGTACATAAAATGACTACGATTTCAGTATGCTTTGAAAAATAAGAATCTGGAATATTAGATTATCATATATATTTATCCGGTAGAGAAGGGAGGGGGTAAAACAAAGAGCTTTTGGGCCTCAAGTGGGAAAAGGGAGTTTAAAGTCCTATTGTTGAACATGTAAACCACCACCAGAATAAAGACTTTTTACTCAGGTATTGCACTATATTTGTAGTTTGTGTTGTATATTGTATGTTGTTTGCTAGGTCGGCTAACCCCTAAGTCTAAACACCATTTTCTGGGGGTCTTAAGCAGCAGAAATTTATTTTCTAACAGTTCAGGGGGCTACAAGTTCAAAATCACGGTGTTGGCAGGGCTGGTTTCCTCCGAAGCCTCTGTCCATGGCTTGTAAATGGTTCCTCTCCCTGTGTCTTCAACATGGGCTTCCTTCTGTGCCTGTGTCCTACTCTTCTCTTCTTAGAAGGATACCAGTCACACTGAATTAGGGTCCACCCAGTGACCTCATTTTAACTTAATTACCTCCTTAAAGACCAATCTCCAAATATGCTCACATTCTAGGGTAGAGGGGAGGGTCAGGATTTCAACATGAATTTGGGGGAGGACACATTTCAGACCAAAAGATCTAAAAAAAATATATATATATATATAAATAAAATGGAACCAGTGGATGACCTACTGTGTGGATCATGTCTGGACCTCTGCAGTGGAGTTTGAGCAGAATTGGTAATATGTACATTGGAAACTAGGTAAGCCAAGAAATTAAGACAGCCATCAACTTCACTATAACACACCAGTAGTCAATGTAAAAGTTAATATAATCCTAGTACAGCTTGTCCCTCAGCTGTGAATCCTATTTACACTGATTGAACCAAAATTGATTAACAAAATGTATACTGCAACTTTTTTCAAAGGTGGGAGGAAGAGAAACGTGTGAACATGATGGTTTATATAAAAGAGAGCTTCCATAGAGAAAGACTTTCCATAGAGGTAGTCATATTAAATATCTAACATTAAAAAAAAAACCAAGGAATAGTATAAAAAGCTCTTAGAAATGTAGAGATAAATTCTGGAAGAAATAAAGTATTGAAATGCTATCTTCAGAAGGCATGGAAGGGTAAGTGGGGGCTTTTTTTTTTGCAATAAACTTCAGAGTGTTATTTGACTTTTACTACTGAATGTGTATTGCTTTGAGACAATGTAATTTTAATAAAAAAATTATATAGATCTCATCACAGTACAGTAAAACAAATTAGTTATGTATTAGGTACATAGTTTTTTTCTCCAAATTTAGTTGAAAATACATGTCTTCTTGGACTTAAATAAAAATAACATAGGTTTTACTTTAATTCTAATAATATTCATCAACACTTACAATTTTTATAAACAACTTGAACTGTATTTCCTTAAAGATAACCTACAGAGAACTGAAGCTTTTACAGTGTGAAGCGAGCTGGCCAGCATTTTGTCAGTGCAAGTCTCTTCTCAAATTGATAACTGATCTGGAGAAGAATGCGTTAATAATATATGCTACGCTGAAGCAGATCTGTCGAGAACATGGGCACACATTTGTTGAAGAAGCTGACTTGACTTCTCAACTGTTAGGCCATATGTCTTTCCATGATGTTTGGCAGTCTCTGAAGTTTTTGAAGGATATTGGTGTGGTGACGTATGAGAAGTCCTGTATCTTTCCTTACAGCCTTTACCAGGCTGAAAGACGCATTGCCTCTTCAGTATGTGAGCTGATGATGAGGCCTCCATGGCATTTGCGTGTCGATGTCAGAAAGGTGCTTGCATCTATTCACACCGCAAAACCTGAGAATTCAAGAAGTGATGATACATTGAAGGAAGGTACACCTGATGAAACAAGATTAGAAAATTCTGTGGACATTCTGGACACACAGGACAGCAGTGACCATATTTGGAATAATGGTGAGAGTGAAGTGAATGCAGAAATAAGTGAAGTTCAGTTGGATCAGGATCAGATGGCAGCTTTGGAAATGATTTGCTCCAATGCTGTGACAGTTATAAGTGGGAAAGGTGGTTGTGGGAAGACCACAATTGTTAGCCACCTTTTTAAGCATATTGAACAGTTGGAAGAAAGAGAAGTAAAAAAAGCTTGTGAAGATTTTGAACAAGACCAGGATGTACCAGAGGAATGGATTACCTTTACTGAGCAAAGTCTACTGAAGGCAGACAAAGCTATAGAAGTTTTACTTACAGCACCTACAGGGAAAGCAGCTTGCTTACTGAGACAGAAAACTGGTTTTAACGCTTATACACTATGTCAGGTAAAGCCTTGTACATTTTTTTCTGTAGATAAAACACTTACTTTAAAGACAAACTTTATTTAATGAGTTGATTAATTTTTATTTCTTCCTGATGACAATCTGTAGATATTTATTGAATGTCTTCTGGATCCATGCCTTGTAGCTAGCTAATCATTTAGATTCATGCCACTCAAAATAGCCAGTTTGTAAATTGTTCCTGATGTGCAGTGACATTGGAGCTCGTGCCAGGAAGTGAATCAGTGTACTGCTTCCTTCCTTGAGAAAGTCTTATTTTAGGGGGAAAAAAAAAATCAATTAAAGTATACGCTTAATGATGTTAATTTAGATTCTAGCATAAGCTCTGTTCTTATTGGGACTGGTTGTAAACATGTCATAGTCCGCAGACTGTGTTGTGAGAAGCACTGGAGTTGGTCAGGAGTGCTAAGAGAAGGGCTGAGATGTTTGCAGTGGAATACTGCTGTGTGCAAAGCATGTCAAACACACCAAATATTCATTAGGAAGTAATTTTTTTAGCTATTTGATTCTTGTTTTGTTTTTAGATTAATCTATCTTTTCTGAGTATTCATCCCTGTAACTTTTGTGTTCTCTATTTCTTTAGTCATTTTCCCTAAGTTCTCTACCTATATCTCTCCCCTTTTAAGAGTTTTGTTTTATTTATTTTTAAAATTTTTTATTGAGATATTATTGATATACACTCTTATGAAGGTTTCACATGAAAAAACAATGTGGTTACTACATTTACCCATATTATCAAGTCCCCACCCATACCCCAATAAGAGTTTTGTTTTAAAATAAAATGATTTAAGTGTTTAAAAAAGGTTTTTGTAAAATTTGTAATCTAAATTCAGTCAATACTTTGCTTGTAGGTCAATTATAGCTTCTATTTATGGGAGAAAAAAAACACCACCAAGAACAGGCCATGGAAGTTTTCTTCTGTTAGAGTTCTGGTTGTGGATGAAGGGAGCTTGGTATCTGTAGGAATCTTCAAATCGGTTTTAAATTTATTGTGTGAGCACTCCAAACTTTCTAAGCTTATTATCCTTGGTGAGTTAAAATATTGTTGGAATTCTATTTGTTTACTTCAATGCATTGCAGCTAGTAGTTTACTTATAACATTTCACTGTTTTAATATCCATATCCTACATTTGGGAAGCCATTTCTCAGAGCCCATACTAAAGCTACCCTGAGTTCAGTTTGACCACTGTCTTTATCAGTTTGGGTGTTTTTTTGTTTGGCCAGGATATTAGCAGCCTAGGATGTGCATGAAATAGAGTTGTGAGGGGTTATTGCTAATTACCTAAATGATGACTATTAAAATAGTAAAGATGTCACAGATTCAGAGTAAATAAGAATGTAGATAATTTGGAAATAATAAAGTGTCTGAATTATAAGTAACTGAAGAATAATTTATGATTTTATGGTAACTCAAATTAGACCTCACCAGCCTCTTAAGTCCTTTGCGGTTCTGGTGAGATTCAGTTAGATTCTGTTGAGTGGTACTGATCTATCTCTATGATTTAATGGAGAAAATACAGAATTGCAGTGTGAGAACCCAATTGCATACACCTAATTTTTTTTAGAATTTCGATGGTATTTTATAAACAGTTGATTCTGTTAATGGCTTAAGCATCTCCCACTTTCCACCAGACAATGGTTTTTCTTATCGCTAGGGTTTGTTTGTTTACATAAAGCAAAAAGATTTTTAATAGAGCCAAACATTATCATTACATTACTAGAATTTATCTATTATCAAATGCATTGAGTGTATTTTGTTTTATATGTTTATTTTATTCATTTGAGGCCCTAGATTCTACTGTGTTTAGTAAGTCATTGAGCAAGATTGAGTAAATGACTAAATCCTTGGTACCTAAAGTCTGTTTTCTCTTTACATGTTGGCTAAAATATATGTTCCTACATTGTTTGCCCTTGGTTATAGGTATAAAGTTCAATTCAGATTTTACCTTATTGTCTTCTCAGTACTTTTTAAAATCTTACATTGTTTAAATTGAATGTTTTTTCTTTGTCAAATATTCTTAAAGACAGTATTCTTAAATCATTTTAAATAGATTTTTTGGGACTTCTTTTCTCAGAGTAAGTCTTTATAATGTTAGCATATATCAGTAGGAAGAAAGAAAAATAATTTTGAAATTTTAGGACCCTGGTTACCTAAGACCTACTGTCTGCCTTTATTTTCCCTTTTACTTTTAGGTGATATCAGACAGTTACCCAGCATTGAACCTGGAAACTTACTGAAAGATCTTTTTGAGACTCTTAAGTCAAGAAATTGTGCTATTGAACTAAAGACAAACCATAGAACAGAATCTGAGCTAATTGTGGACAATGCTACAAGGTATAATTTAACTAAAAATTTATCTTTTTTCTCTGCTGTATTAGAAATAAAAGGTAAAGAAACAACATAGTAACTTTTGAATTAGGGTGATTCAGATAAGTACATTTACTATATATAACCTTTTAGCAAACCTAGTCTCTCTTTTCAGGTATTATATATATACATTTTGGCCCACAGTTAGAAGAACAAAGTTAATATTTTTCATTACTGGTCAACATAAATTATTACTGAAATTTAAAAGTGAATGTTTTTCTGATTTAAGGAAAGTACATATGTGAATTACAGTTGCACTAAGCTTAAAGACTAGAATAAGCCCAAGGGGAACAGAGACTTGGAAGTGATTCATTAGAGCTCAAGGGAGAATTGGGAAAGAAATTTCCCTTAATTTTTGTAAGGGAAACCCAAAGCAAAAAAAATGAGTATGGTATTTCACCCCTTGATGAATCCTGGTGGTATATACTCCCTTTAAAGTAGAAAAGAACCTTCTCTTCTCTTAGTCTTTGGGTAAGCCTGGAGAGTGATCTTCTGTAATAGAGTAATGAATGGGGCATCAGCATGCTAAAAGACTTTCTTTATTCTTTGGGCCAAAATTTATCTTCGTGTTTGACTCTTTTACAAGATGTTTTTGTTGCTGAACATTTCCTTGGTTGGATGTCAGCAGAAACTAGATCATTTTTCTATGCCCTTGTCTACTCCAAGTAAGATAGTGGGAGTAGAGGAAGAGTTGAAAGGAACAGGGTCAATGACAAAGGTTCACATGAAGATATTAAGACACATAATGCAGGTGGATGTGTGATATTCTTTTCCTACAGCTCTTCTGTTCCTTTCTAAATGCCACCTCATTTTTGGGATATTGGTAGCTGATTGGTTATTTTAAAGTCTGAAAAATCTTTAAAGACTCTAAAACACATTAGATTTCTTGAAAGCCAGTTTTATTTGAAACTGAGGAATTCCTTTTAGTAACCCTTTTGGGCTCAGCTCTGCTCCTTTTACCATTTCTTCTTAATCATCATCACCAAGTATTTGAATGACAGAAGGATCCCAGTGACCCCAGGGAAATGTTCCTAGAGATACAAATGTATTATGTATCCTGGGTCAGAAACAGAGCAGGAGATCCATGATGATTCTCAGTATCCCAAAAATTAAATTTGAGATATTTCCGGTAAGGACAGCCCCTTCCCTCTCCCTTCCTCTCTTTCATCCTCGTTGGGATGGCTGAGGATGACCCTGTAGGGGACCACTGCCTTTGACATCTAGGCTGCTTTGAGGTGTTTTCAGGGAGTCAGTCGTCTTCCAAATAATATAAGAGACTATTATGACTAGGCACCTGCCCCTTACTCTGCTTTCGGGTATGTTTGCTAGTCTTGGGACATACAGGAACAAAAGATTGGGGAGGGAATAGAAGCACAGAGATGTGGATACTTGATTCAGCTGGGAAAATGAGGCCATATATACCATATATGTAAAAGAAAGGAGAAAAGAAAGAGGATGACGCAAATATGAATAGGGCCCGAAGGAGTCCAACTTAATTTAAAGAGAAAGGGCTATGGAACCAGATGGGTCCACCTTTGCCTCCTAGCTCCCGTTTCTACCTCTGTGGACTTGGACAGCTCACCCCTGCTGACTGAGCCTCATGTTGCTCACCTGTGAAATGAGGCTAATACCTACCTTATAGTTCTCCTGTGGTCTGGAGAAAAGTAGGTCAAGTTCTCAGAATGGTGCTTCGTAAATTCCCTGGCAATTTTTTGTAATGGCTTTAATTTTCTAGGGGTAAGGGACTGATTGATAAATATAACATTATGGTCTGGCTAATTCTATTTTAAAACTCATTAACTGTTTATAATGTGTCTATGAGTAGCCTTTTCACTCTATATATTATCTATTAACAGATATTAATTACTGTAATGACATTACCTCTCATCTGATCATACATGAAGACACATTTTTGGGTACTAATCTTATTGGTGTTTTATTTTATCTTTAATTAAGAATCTCAAGACGTCAGTTTCCGAAATTTGATGCACAGCTGAATATCTCTGATAATCCAACATTCCCTGTCTTGATACAACAGAAAACATTTATTTTTGTCAGACTTCCAGAAGAGGATGCCAGTTCTCAATCATCAAAAAGTAATCATCCCTGTAAGTATAATCTTCTGTGTCACATAGGGCTAAGTATTTCAGTTTTGCAGTAGAGTTATAATTTTATTTGATGGTAAAGGTAAATGTTGCTAGTAAAAAATTAGGTACTGAAAATAAAACTGATTTATTAATCGTGAAAAGCAGATTATCCTAGAATTTTGTAAAGAAATAAGCTCTTGACACATACATACTAAGGGCTCAGAAATATTTGTTGAGTGAAAAAAGGGATGTAGATGATTAGCTTAAAATAAAGTGAAGCCCCAGTAATCCAATTTCTTTCAGGAGGAAGCCTGTCTTAGCTAGAGCAGGTTTTCTTTTACAGCCATTGGAAAAGTAAATACATTCATTATTTCGGCCACATTTGTGAAACAAAAGTAATTGCTGTCAAAGTGTTGCCAAATTGATTTCCTAATAGTTCTGTTTCTGATAAAATGGACAAGCATCACTGCTAGTTATGGGTACTAGGCTGACAACATGACGGGGCTGGGAAGGAGCATGGGATAGGAGATCATCCCTTGTGCATATGACCTGTGTCACGTCACTTAACCATTTGTAAAGTGGGAATCACCGTGGTGGTGCCCATGGAGCTGTTGCGAGCGTTAAGGGCATTCATTAGTTTTGATGTACTGTATACATGTTAATTTTTTGTGAATAATAGATACTAAATTATTGCAAATTAATTTAAATAGATTGAACCTTTTGATCTTATTTGTATTATAAACTTAGCAAACTATTTTTAACAGTATAGTGATTTAGTCAAAACTTAGTGAAATTGAAATTATTATTGAGGATTTATAGTAGTAGCCACAGTGCTTAAAGGTATATCCTTCCTACTTAACTGCTTCCACTCTGTATGTGAAAGTTGGTGACATATGACTTTATCTGTAAGCCTTTCCCCCTTCATGTGTATCACCAATCTCAGTTCCTTTGAGTTAGTGTCCATTCACATGTTAAAATATTCTTTTTATATAGCATCATATGTACATAGTATTCTATAAATGCCTTTTTGGTTTTCTTGATTAGAGAAATAATTTATATTCCTTAAAAAAACATCAAATAATACAAAAGAGAAGTAAAAATTAACATTTCCCTGTAATCTTCCTTGCTCCTTTCCCACAAGAAAGCCCTACAAAGGTCAAATATACAGTAAGAGCTTGATGTTTATTCTTTTTAACCTTTTATCCATATGTAAACATACATTGTTTATTTTGGTTTTATGTAAATTGGATTATTAGGTGCATTTTTCAATTAGTATACTGTGAATAATTAATAGATAATATTTATTTGTACAACAACCTAGTTAATAGTAGGTACTAGTACAGAAGAAGGGAATGAGACTTGGATGGTTAAGTAACTTGCTCTCTCTGCCATTCCATTTAGATGTCCCTAAAATGTGGTTAGTCTTGTGTCTGGCACCCATTCTTTACATTAATGAGAATGCACTTTAAAAAAAGTTGTCTGTTTTCAGAATGGTAGCAGAGCTTAGCTGGTGCTGTTTTTCTATCTTAATTACAAACTGCAGTTGGAAAATCAGTCTCTTCTTTAAAATAAATGAATAAATAGTCCTTAGAGAGGCATATAGTACTTTTTCATTAATAATTAAGTGAATTATTGAGTAAGTTGGTCCATGATTGCAAAGTACAAAGACTTCAGACAGGCTTCATAGCTGGGCTAGAATTTCAGAGATACTGAAATGTGGAAAAATGTGTATCTTAGAATCAATGAAATGCAGTGTGTTTACTAATCTGTGAGATGTAGAGAGGGTGAAAAAAGCCAAGAGCAGAGCAGCTCAATCCCGTGCTAGTAAGGAGAGCAGTGTTCTGTGAGACCTTTGGGGATTCCTGCTGTGGCAGAGGGGGGAGTGGCAGGTGGGGGTGAAGTGGGGAGTGGGGTGGGAGCTGGGGCTGAGCTGGGTATTGGCCATTTTAAAATAATTAATTAATTAATTAATTTTGTTGTCATTAATCTACAATTACATGAAGAATATTATGTTTACTAGGGTCCCCCCTTCACCAAATCCCCCCCCGCCACAAACCCTATTACAGTCACTGTCCATCAGCATAGTGAGATGCTGTAGAATCACTACTTGTCTTCTCTGTGTTGCACAGCCCTCCCTATGCCCCCCTACATTATACATGCTAATCGTAAGGCCCCCTTTCTTTTTCCCCACCCTTATTCCTCCCTTCCCTCCCTTTCTCCCCAGTCCCTTTCCCTTTGGTAACTGTTAGTCCACTCTTAGGTTCTATGATTCTGCTGCTGTTTTGTTCCTTCAGTCTTTCTTTGTTCCTATAGTCTTTGGGTTTGAGGTGAGTCTCTTGTAAGCAGCATAGAGATGGGTCTTGCTTTTTTATCCATTCTATTATTCTGTGTCTTTTGATTGGTGCATTCAGTCCATTTACATTTAGGGTGATTATTGAAAGATATGTACTTATTGCCATTGCAGGCTTTAGATTCGTGGTTGCCAAAGGTTCAAGGTTAGCTTCTTTAGTACCTTATTGTCTAACTTAACTCGCTTATTGAGCTATTTTAAACACTGTCTGGTCACTCTTTATTTTTCTCCCTTCTTATTCCTCCTCCTCCGTTCTTTATATGTTGACTGTTTAATTCTGTGGTCTTTTGTGCTTCCTTTAACTGCTTTTGTGGGTAGTTGATTTTATTTTTTGCCTTTAGTTAGTATTTGGTTGGTCTGCTTTCTTTGCTGTGATTTTATTTTCTCTGGTGACATCTATTTAGTCTTAGGAGTGGTCCCATCTAGAGCAGTCCCTCTAAAATACCCTGTAGAGGTGGTTTGTGGGAGGCAAATTCCCTCAACTTTTGCTTGTCTGGGAATTGTTTAATCCCTCCTTCATATTTAAATGATAGTCGCACTGGATACAGTATTCTTGGTTCAAGGCCCTTCTGTTTCATTGCATTAAATACATCATGTCATTCTCTTCTGGCCTGTAAGGTTTCTGTTGAGACGTCTGATGATAGCCTGATGGGTTTTCCTTTGTAGGTGACCTTTTTCCTCTCTCTAGCTGTCTTTAAAACTCTGTCCTTGCCCTTGATTTTTGCCATTTTAATTATGTGTCTTGGTGTTGTCCTCCTTGGGTCCTTTCTGTTGGGAGTTCTGTACACTTCCATGGTCTGATCAATTATTTCCTTCCCCAGTTTGGGGAAGTTTTCAGCAATTATTTCTTCAAATACACTTTCTATCCCTTTTTCTCTCTCTTCTTCTTCTGGTACCCCTATAATGCGGGTATTGTTCCTTTTGGATTGGTCACACAGTTCTCTTAATATTGTTTCATTCCTGGAGATCCTTTTATCTCTCTCTGTGTCAGCTTGTATGTGTTCCTGTTCTCTGGTTTCTATTCCATCAATGGCCTCTTGCATCTTATCCATTCTGTTTATAAATCCTTCCAGAGATTGTTTCATTTCTGTAATGTCCTTCTGAACATCATCCCTTAGTTCTTGCATATTTCTCTGCAGCTCCATCAGCATGGTTATGAGCTTTATTTTTAATTCTTTTTCAGGAAGACTGGTTTGGTCTATCTCCTCAGGGTTTGCATCTGTGATCTTGGTCTGTATCAGTTTCTTCTGCCTTTTCATGGCGATAGATATATTTGTGGGGAGCTGGCACGTGTGTTGGGTAAGAGAAAGTCCCTTCTTACCAGTTTGAGGCCTTCCTCTCCTGGGAGAACAGTGGCCTCTAGTGGCTTGTGCTGGGCAGCTGCGTGCAGACGGGGCTTCTGATGTTGCCCGGCTGCTATGGTTTATTTAGCTCTGCAGTTGCTGTGGGCGTGGCCTGCCTCAGGCTGCTTCTCCAATATTGTGGCACCGCATTGGAGGGGGAACAGGCCAGAGGCTGTTTATTGTGGTGAGGGGCCTCCGAGCTGTGCTGCAGGGATTCGGGTGCCCAGAGTTCCCCGGGATTCACAGCTGCTGGGCTAAGTATCCCGGGGCACTTCTGTCCAGCTGTGGGTCCCTGTCCCTTTAAGACTTTCAAAAAGCACTCGCTTTTCTTTGTCCTGGGTGCGCCGGCTGCGGGGACCTGCTCACAGGTCTTACTGTCCTGTTTCCCTAGTTTCCAGCACCTCACGCATGCACTGTGTCTGTGATCTGGTGCGGATGGCTAGGGCTGGGTGTTTAGCAGTCCTGGGCTCCCTCTCCCTACCCGCTCCAACTCCTTTCCTCCCACAGGGAGCTGGGGGGAGAGGCGCTCGGGTCCCGCCAGGCCGCAGCTTGTATCTTACCCCCTTCGTGAGGCGCTGGGTTTTTGTGGGTGTGGATGCAGTCTGGCTGTTGTCCTGTGTCTTCTGTTCTCTCTTTTAGGATTAGTTGTATTTGTTGTATTTTCAAAAATATATATGGTTTTGGGAGAAGATTTCCGCTGCTCTACTCACGCCGCCACCTTGGTTCTCTCTGGTAATGGCCATTTTTTACTGATAATCATCTCTTCATCTGAAAAATGAAAGGCTCAGAGAGAAACTATTTAGCCTTCCTAGAGCCAGACATCACAAGATGTGATTCATCTGCTGTGAGGGGCAGGCTCAAAAGCCTGCAATGCTCCTATCCCAATTTTTATATCTTCTCTCTCTCATGCAGTTTCTTACTATTGCTAAGAGAGATTAGAGGAAGACTGCTTCTCAGTGCTCTGAGGAAGGGCAGGTTATAAGTGAGCGTCACTGTCAGCGAGCTGAGCACTCGAAGAGGAAGGCCAGCCACCCACCTCATTTGGAAATTACTTTTACTGCCAGGAGCCTCAGCTTCATACTCATAACAAGGATGTAATCTGTGGTGATAGACAGACTATTTAATAAGTGTTAGGAAGTGCTCACTCCTGAAATGGATGCCTCTGCCAGGCTTAACCTTTTAGATGCTGGATCCTGGGGAGGTCTGGAGGTTCGGGGAATGAGAGACATGGTTTGGGGTGGGGAGTGGAGCATTGTGGTATTTGCAGTGTAGCTGTTTTCTAGCTATTACGGAAGTAGCTCAGTGTTTTATACTTGTATGTATATCAGTTAAATTATCAGCCTGGATATAATAATATCTGCCTCATCTGAATGTTGTGAAGATTAAAAAATTAAGTGAAATAACATACGCAAAGCATATAGATTCTCAGATTATAGCTCATTACCACCAGTACCACCAGACCTCAAATCAGAAAGAGGTCGTACTTGAGTAGTTCTGTTGCATATTTTGTCCTCTTGCTCATATTTTAAATTTAGCATTCACAAACCATCAGTGAATATGAGTGATTACATTACAAATTAGGATGACAATTTGTCCTGGCTAGTGGTTGACCTCTGTTGGGGATAGGGTGTCTGGAACCCTGGAACTCTTTTCTGTTGTCTGGCTAATGTAACAAATGCAGTTGATGTTCCCACAGTGAATTAAATATTCCCTTTGGTAGGATGTTTTCCTGGACCCCTTAGCAGAAATTCTGAATTAGTTCTTCCATAGAAATGTTGTAATTTGATGCTTTTCCTTAATATTTTTCTTTCAAATTATCAGATTTATATTCTGCAGTTAAAACTTTACTCAATGAAAAGGACCTGCAACGTGCAGAAACATCACAATTTATTGCATTTAGGAGGTAAAGCATTTACAATATTTTAATGTTTTTAGTCTTGCTTTTAAGTCTCATTAAGTTATTAATGTAGATACTGTTTGAATGGGAGGTTTTTATAGTTCATCACTGTTAATTTTCTCTTACTTTGAGGTATTTCTTTGTTAGACATGATGGAGGGCAGTTTTTAAACAAGGCTCTTTTTACCACATAATATAAAATCAGAGGAAATCTGAATGAAATAAAAGTTTATGTTAAGATAAAAATTACAAACTACTTTGTCCTAGAGAAAGTCCTGGAAACTTTTTATAGAGTTCTGTAAATTGACCCTTGAACAAGGTAGGGGTTCGGAGCACTGACCTCCCATGCAGTCAAAAATCTGCATGTAACTTTTGACTCCCCAAAACCTTTACTCATAGTCAACTGTCAACCGGAAGTTTTACTGATAATATAGTCGATTGGTTAAATTATGTTATTACTGATAACATAACATATTTTGTATGTTATATGTATTATACATTGTATTCTTACAATCAGGTAAGCTAAAGAAAAAATGTTATTAAGAAAATCATAAGGAAGAGAAAATACATTTACAGTACTCTACTGTCTTTATTGGGAAAAATCCACATACAAGTGGACTTATACAATCCAAACCCATGTTTGTCTAAGGGTCAACTGGGTGTCACAGGTGTTGGTAACGGAGGCAATTCCAAGGCAGGCGCCAGGAAGCTCACCCTCACCCTCTTGTGTTTTCATTTGTTTCAGGCAGGACTGTGATGTTATCAATGCCTGCTGCTGCCAGCACTACACAGGCCGCCTCATCAAGTGAGTCCAGGGCTGAATCTGAGGGCGGGCCCCCCCTTAACTCCCTGCTCTGTTATTTGTTTTGACATTTATCACTGTAGCCACAAATTTAAAAAACTTTTTTTTTTTTTGGTAAAGTCAAATGATCTCTTCAATTAAATATAATATATACCCTTAGGCACTGACTTTCTGGTAATCAGCATAATAGGAAAAATAAGGAATTAAAATGTCCTTGGGGTCTTCAGGCCTGGCAGCTTCTCCAGGTGTGGGAGAATTCAGGAGAATTTTTCAAATTATCTGTGTGTAGTGCACCCAAGAACCTTAGCAAAACAGGATGCCTGTAGAGAACACCGTGGCGAGCATCTGTTCGAGAAACAGCTATTATGGAAAAGCCTCTCTGTTTACCTGTAGAAAGAATTAACTCACTGCTTTTGCTTTTATCAACAGCTGCTATTAAGTGCAGAGGACTTAATCCAAAGAAGGGTCAGTTACAGGAGGGGCTCCCTGTCTGTTGAGGAAAGAGACACAACAAATCATGTTAGGTAGCCTAACAAAGAGGTAAAAAGCATGAGATTGAGGCCTTCCAGTCTGGGGCCCAGCAGGTGTGGTGTTGGGCAGGTAATCTCACCTCTCCATGTTTGTAAAAAACGATACACAGGATTTCTCCATGGAGTTGTAGGAAGGATAAAATGAAATAATGTGCCTAAAGCATGTATCACAGTAACTGGCATATTGCTAGCACATGTTCAGTTTGCTGCCATAATTCTGATAAAATGTCATAATTATTATACTAGGAATATGGATAAGTGCTGTTATGACCTGAAAGAGGGTAGTGATAGGAGAAATGGGAGAGGAGAAGATGAATTTAAAAGATATAATCAATAAGATTTTTGGTAACTTTTAGAATATAGAGGAAAGAGACATATCAGAATTTATGCCAAGATTTCTAACTTGAAACAGTTAGGCTGGAAAAGGTCACCGAGTTTGAGGTGTGCAGAGAGACCTCAACTCTGGGCGCCTGATGTTGTGTTGATGTTTGGAGAACAAAAATGAAGAAAACAGGGTACGGAAGTTATTTTGAGAATTGGGTCATGTCTGAGTGGGAATTACTGCCTAAAAGAAATGAAACTAGGTTTTCTAAATTTTAACAATGTATTATTTTCTAAACTAGAGACCATCAGAACAGACTTCAGTTTGGAGTTGGTGATAAAATTTGTTGTACCCGGAATGTTTATCTCTCAGAGTTACTCCATAAAACTAACTCTAACAGTCAGCAGACTGAAGAACTAGAGGCCAGTGGTGAACTTTTTAATGGTAGTCCTCATAGTTTTGCTGGAAATAAGCATGACTTTGAAAGTGGTATTCGGCTGTGCAATGGAGAGGTGTTTTTCATAAGAAAGGTAAGTGAGAACAGAAAAATGGTACCTTTTCACCTATTGGGAGACTGATTTGGGTTTTTTGGTGTTCTTTTTTTTTTAATTGCCCTAGGATTTATTCAGAACGTAATCCTATCAGAGTTGACGTTCTTCTTCCGTAATTTTTAAGGAGTTTTACATCTGGGTTTATGAGGGATATTGGTTTGTAGTTTTCTAGTAATGTCTGGTTTTGAAGTCAGAGCAGTGCTGGCTTTATGAGTTGGGAAGTGTCCCATTCTCCTCTATTTCCTAGAAGACTTTGTGAAGAAATATATTTTTAGTAAGTTTGAAGTGCTTGAGTAACAAAAAACAAGGGACAGTGACACGCATATTTTACAAAGCATTGTTTCCTTGGTTGCTGCTTATATTTAGAAACTATAGAAGTGTTCCCTTTGAATTTGTCCTCATTGTATAAATAATCTGTTACACTAAAAAGCTTATTCTTTAAAAGCTCTCAGGAAAAATAAATTTTTTGCAAAGAGTATATGGAGGCTAGCATAGACAGTCCAAGAAATGCTATAGACTTCAACCTAAGGAAGACAACACAGATTATTCTCCAGAGAGTCAAATTCAGGTTAAGTTTCAAGGACCTAACTAAGCCTTCCACTTGTGTTTAAAATATCTGGGTATGTATTTATGCAGTTTCAGTTCAAGCATAGTTTAAGCCTTCTGAAATTCTTAACAACTGTAATGAATGTACTTGCTATTTTACTTATTCGGTGCTTGCATTTTATGTTCACAAAAACAATATCTCGACTGTGTGCATATTTGAAAATGTACAAAATAGTTTTTGTTTTTGTGACAGGATATAACTGATGTAACTTTTGGAAAGAGAAGGTCTTTGACCATTGATAATATGGCTGGCTTGGAAGTAACTGTGGATTTTAGGAAACTAATGCAACACTGTCACATAAAACACGCGTGGGCAAGAACTATTCACACTTTTCAGGTAAGTATGCACCTTTACAAAGCTATTTAAATAATGGCCACATCATAGAGTACCTTGCATATTTTCTTTCTACTTCTGGTGGCTCATCACTTTTGGTAATTAGGAATTTTTTCAGTTAGGAAGCAAAGTACACATAAGTTCAGAAATACTAGACATTAACCTTCTGCTCTTTCAGCTTCAGGACTGTCTTTATTCAGGCCCTAGGGCACTAGAGGTAAGGCCTCATCCTGCGGGCCTCTCTTGCACCGGGGATAGAAGAATCAGGGCTGGGAGGAACTTCCCTTTTGCTTTAGTCTCCGGTGTCTCTTGGCATGGCACTGTTACTGATCTTTTTACTTAAAATTTTGGTATTTTGTTCATTGCAAATCTTTGTCTAAATTTTTATTTCTAAAAATATTACATTAAAATGTCCTGTATCTTCATTGCTGAGTTTCTTGACCTCCTCTTTTTGTGCCCAAAGCAAGCGCCTCCCTTGTCCTGCCCTGGTCCCAGGCCTTCCCTCCCTCCCTCAGAAGTGAATTTGTTTCTGATGAATTGGTCCATTAATTTAGAAACAAAGTTGCCAAGGCTTATATAAATGGTAATTGTAATGTTTATATATCTTTGCAACTTGTTTTTTGTGTTGTTTGGTAAACTTATTAGGGCACAATTTGCATACACATTTTAATTATAAAGTTGGTTGAGTTTTGACAACTGAATGCCCTTCTTCTGCCCTTGTGAGACACCTGCTTTTTGTTTGGGAATAACTTTACATTTACAGAAGAATTGGAGATGTAGTACAGAGAATTTATACATGCCGCACACCTAGCTTTACCTATTGTTAATCTCTTACATAACTGGTATATTTGTCAAAACTAAGAAATAACTACTGGTACGAAATGACTGACTAAACTTTCTGCTTTATTTGGATTTCACCAGTTTCCTACTAATACTGTTCTTCTGTCCCAAGATCTAATCCTAAACCTGACATTGCATTTATTGTAATTTGCTTTTAAGCTCTGTTTTAGTCATCTTGAATTCTAGGTTTTTGTGGCTCTATTATTCCTGTCGTTGTCTTGAGCTCCCCTGTTTGGTGTTGGTATGGTGCTTCAGTGACGAGGCTGTATCAACCTACATTTGTAACAGAGATAAATTTAAGTTAGCCTATAATCCGCTACTAGTAGGCAAACATTAACTAGCATAAAAGTGTTTTTTTTTTAAGTGAATGGTGTTTTATTTATTAATTTAGTCTATCTCAGTTCCAAAAAGAATATGAAATGGCTTACAGAAGCTGCCTGCAATGCAACATGATTTTTTACAAAGATTAAGGAAGAGTGTCAAGTAGAAAATAAAGCTAAGGTTGGTAAAAGGGTTCCTGCCTGGAGGGGTTGGAATGCTGAGATGCACAGCGACTTTTTGCTTGCTTATGTGCACTGCAGGTTTGCCTCTAAGTTCCCTTAAAGCCACAGATCCCAAAATAAGACAGTACAGGTAAGTTGACTCTGTCTATTGTATTAAAAAAACCCCAAGAAACAAGAAACCCAATTGTTAAGAAGTGGAGATATTCCTGGTGTGAGATCCTGTAGAAATTCCTCCCATGGATCTTTATGATGGGGGTCTCTGTAATTCTGCAAACTCATTCAATTTTGGGAAATTTTCTTGAATAATTTCATTAAGATTTCTTGTCCTTCATTGTCTTTGTTTTGTCTTTCTAGATCTGTTTATGTTGGACCTTCCAAACTGATTAGCTAAAATTCTTACCCATCCTACTATCTAACTCATTATCATTTTGTTATATTTTTTGAGAGATTTTTCTCAAATTTATAAAATAGGCTTTCTGTTGCATTTCTGGACAAATGAAGAGTGATGGGGCCATTATTATTACTGGTTGAATTTGGAGTAAATATCTCTAAATGTTCTTCTTAACTGGATCTGGCTCTTACCTCATGGCTGAAATATCATCTCTTACCTCTGAGAACATTATGACTTGTATCAGCATAGTTTGTTTCTTCTGAGTTCAGTTCAATTCAGCAAGTGTTTACTGAGTCAGACTTTGTTCTGGTGCTTGGTACATTAGTCAGTCCATGAGACATACAAAGATTCCTGCCATTGTGAAGGTTATGTTTGGTGGGAAAGAGGATAGGTATAAATACAATTGTAAAGAATTAAGTAAACTATGTTTAATATTAGAAGGTGGTAAATGCTATGGGAAAAGGGTGGGGGTGCGATGCAGTTGTAATTTTAAGTAGTGGTTAGCATAGGCCTCACTGAGATAGTGGCATTTGATCAAAGCCTTGAAGGAGGTAAAGAAGTTAACCTTGTGGATATCTGGGAGAAAAGCATTCTAGGTAGAAGGAACAGCCAGCGCCAGGGTTCTAGGGTGGGAACCTGCCTGGCCTATTTGAAGAAGAGGAGCAGCAGGGAGGCCAGTGTGGGAGAGTGACAGGAGGTAATGAGATCGGAGGAGAGACGTCTGTGTAATTAAAACTTGCCTCCATATGAAGTTTGCTAATTCTAATGATTGAAGGAAGATTTTTAAAAAGGGACAAATGGTTTCTAGTAGGTTATTGAGGTGAAGTTCGATGTCATGTCCCGTTTCTGAGCACACCTTCGGCATGACATTTTAACTTTTATCATTATTCATCAAAAATAGTGAGCAACATAGACGTTGTCCCACCTTCACAGAGGATATGGTCCAGTGAGGAATACAGCTAAGAAGGCAGACAATTTCATTCCAGTCCAGCAAAAATTTTGTGATAGAGGAAGTACAGGGTGCTAGGAAGTACATGGATGGGGCAGAAGTGGGCCAGATGGAGGCCCTGGGGTGGGGACCATGGCAGGAGCCCAAGGAGGTTCCTCATGCAGGGTGGGACACGGCTCGTGGGGAAGGGGAAGGAGGGAGGAGAGCGGGCCAAGGCTGGCTCTTGAAGGGCCACAGGAGCCACATTAAGGGGTTAGGAGTGATAAGTGATTTTAAGCAGAGTGTAATGTGGCTGGACTTGCGATTTACCAATCTGTCTGGTAGTGCCCTGAGGACTGTGATTACAGCAGGTGAGTACATGAGGCTGTGAAGCTTTTCTCAGTGTTACCTGCTGACTAAACTTGATGAGCTAAGTTTAGGCTACATTTAGCTGTTTCAGAGTACATGGTATAAAGTCAAAGGCAGAAATGGTGCTTTGTATCTGTACAATATGTTCATCAGTCATATAACCAAGAACCATTTCAGTCAATTTCTGAGACTCAGCAGCATTATAAGGAAGTATTTGTCAAACTTACAATCTGAGGAGTTAGTTGGGTCAAACTGTGTCCAGGGAGATAGAAGTGCTTGCTGTGTACGAGATTTTTTACTGTGGATTTCTATTTTCTACATGCTCCATCTGGTCATTTGTTTCCCCACAATTCTTTTGGCAGGGGAAATGTGGGAATATTAGGGGAGGTAATGGTTCAAACCACTTCTTAGTTTACAGTGGCACTGAAATTATTGGGGCTAAAAATAGCCACAAAAATTGAAGTTGTTTTTCTCAGGCTACATGGTGACTCTGGGCATTTTTCTCACCTATGCAATTCTTGGCTTGCCACACCTAAAGAGCAAAGGTTCATTGTTCTCTTTTGTTTATCTTGATAAAAGTAGCAAATGGCTCAACAATGGGAAAGTACAGAAAAGTAGAAAAAAATCACCCACAGATCCTCCCCCCCCCCCATTTTGGAGACTGACCATTTAAAATTTGGTTAAAATTTTCTTCCCTTTTTTGTGATTTATTTTGTTACATGTCCATGCTCATTTTCTTTTTTTTTTTGTATCAGAGTGATTTTACTGTGTTTTATAGCTATGATTATTTTATATATAAATGTATCCATTTAAAAAATTTTGCTGTATTTTAAAGCATTTTTGATATTTGCAAAATAATATATCCAATATCTATAGACACTTTATATAAATAAATATATTTATATTCTACAACTTGGTATTTAAAGTGTCTATTTTTTGTTATATAAGTAACAGTGGGAAAACACATTTACCCGTAAAGCCCAAATGATCATTTCCAGTTCTCACAGGGAAGATTTGGTACTGCATATGGTCTTTAAATTTATTGTTGGGTTTCTACAAGCTAGTTGTGGATCTGTGAGACCTGAACTTGGCAGCATAATTAGAAAACATGAGTTCTTGGATAATGAATCAAATGGAATCCGTAAGATTCTGGCCAGGTAGTAGGTGCTCCAGAGCGCCTAGAGGCCTTGTGCCTGTCTGTCTTGTAGACTGCTGAAGACACCGCCCGTTGTGCCGAATTAAGTCTGCTAATTCATTCCTCCCCCGCAGGGGTCTGAGGAGCGCACCGTAGTCTACGTGGTGGGGAAGGCGGGCCGCCAGCACTGGCAGCACGTTTATACCGCAGTGACCCGGGGCCGCTGCAGAGTGTATGTGATTGCAGAAGAGTCCCAGCTCCGGACCGCAATTATGAGAAACAATGTTCCCAGGAAAACTCGTTTAAAACATTTTTTGCAAAACAAGCTTTTGGAGAGCTGTGCATCTGCCGCAGGGTTTGAATCCCCGTTAAGGAGCTCTGGAGCCAGCGGAGGCCCCAGCACGCAGCCGTCAGCCTCGCCGGGCCCCACAGGCACGGCTGACCCTGGGACCCACAACGTCCGCAGAAGCGAGGCCTCCACCGCCAACGACAGTGTGTTTCCCTTTGTCGCGAGGTGGCCGTTGTCTTCATCCGCGGCCGTGGATGCAGATGAAGACCCATCAAAGTCGCGAGGCTCCAAAAGAAGCTGTGGCGTGAATGTGGAGGAAAGCCCCAGCAAAGTGCTCATGGTAGGAGTGGTGTTGCCCCGCGCTCCAGGGATATTTGAATGTTGCTCCCCTCAGTGTGCTCATAAGTGACTGCGTTACCCTGGGCCGTGGGGCGTGAAGACACGTGTCCCCAAGCCTCCGAGAACCCCTCTCCTCTGTGCCCGCCCCTCCCAGCACTTCCTCAGTTTGCCTGAGGCTGGCACTCTGGCAATCTCAGTCTGGTGATGGGCGGGAGGTGTGGGGTGTGGGAGAAGCGTCTGGGTCTCCCTACGCCTCTTCCCGCCTTCTCTCCTTATCAGCCGCCCCTCCCTTCTGTGGGCCCTACACTCGCTCTAGTCCCCGCAGGTCCACCGAGTGGCTGCGTCCCGTCATCTTGCAGCTCGAGAGGCTTTCTCTTCCACTTGTCTTGACTTTTTACCCTGACATTCAGCATTTAGCTGCTGCTACCATTTGAATGTTTCCATCCCTTGGGTTCATTGTGGCCTTATCTAACACTTGCCCTACTGTCTGTCTCATCTGGCCTCTGTTTCTTCACTCTTTTTCTTCCCATCCTCTGACTGGGGACATCTCCCCAAGTCTCAGTGCCTTTTTCCTTGGAGCGCTGACGCGTTCCAAGGTTCAGCCATCACCTTTGCATCAGCGATTTGTTCCCAGCTACCTGCTACATCCCAGGCCCTGGCAGTTCAGAGATGAGTGACAGGTCCCACTCTTGCCCTGATGGCCAGTGGTGGAGACAGACAGGCTGTGTAAGTAACTAGGTATCTCATGGAGTGCGCTTGACACCGAAGAGGAGGTCATGAACCAGCTCCCAGATCCGTCTTTGTTCCTAGAGATGGGCTTTTTTGGAGCCAGAGCTCAACATCTCACTAGTCTCTGAGGATTTCACCATTTCAAACACCATTTTCCCCCTGATAGAAGCTTACAATCTTGGAGTCCCTTAGACTCACTTTGCTTTCACCCTCTACTTCTTGTTAGTCACTAGGTTTACTGCAAAATGCCTCTCAGGATTTCTTCATTCCATTTAGTCCACACTATTTTAGTTCCTTCTCTCGTAGATGACTGCTGACCTGGCTGCCTTCCTCTAGCTGCTTCTAAGTGCTCAGCTCATCCCTTTGTTCACCAGCCTTTAGTGGTTTCCTAGTGCCGACAACATAAGTTTTAGACCATGTAGCCTGGCATTTGAGACCCTTCCCGGTTTGATTCCAGCTTCCCCAGTGTCATTTCATTTCCCAGTATTCTTCTCTGCTCTCATCAAGCTAGTCTCTCCCTTCACCACAGTGAGCCGAACTGGTTCTCATGCCTTCCCTTTGGTTTTGTTGTGCAGCTCGGCTCACATGCTGCCTCCCCTCCCTCAGCATTTGAAAAACTGTTTAGCTCATCTGCTAGGTACTGATCCAAATGCTGGAGGGATGAAAATAGACAAGTCCCCGGTTTCCAGTTGCCAATGTGCCGTGGGCAGTAAATACAACAGAAAATAAAAATTTCAGATCAAGAGAGAGTCTATGAAGAAAACTAAGGTAGTAGAGGCAGGGAATGGTGCTGGGGGGCGTACTGTTTGCTATGGTGTTCAGTGAGGTCACGTGGAGGAGGTGATGAGTGGGCTGAGCACGGAATAATGCCCAGGAGCAGCCATGTGAGGCCCTGAGGAAGAGCATCCCGAGATGCAGAGGGTGTGGAAGGTGAGAGCCTGAAGAGCGAATAGCTCACTGGAAGAGGGGAAGGCCCGTGTGCCCAGTGAGTGAGGCAGAGCGCGCAGGAGATAAGGCTGGAGAGAGGCAGGGCCGCGGGAGGGGGCTGGGGTCCTGACCTCCTGGCGGCGGAATGTGGAGGTGTCATGTCATGTCATGTAGGCTTAAAAAACATCCCTTTGGCCTCTGTGGAGAGTGACCTGTAGAAAGTAAGGTGGAAGCAAGACCAGTCGGGAGGTTGCCCCAGAGAATGAAAGAGCAAGGATGGTGGTGAGAGGAGGCCGGGAGTCCTGCTGCACTTTGGAGAAGTAGTCCATACAACTTGCTGGTTAGATGTGAATGGGTAAAACAAATCCACGATGATTCCTGGAATTCTGGCTGAAGCACCTTGGTGAATTTAGGGCCATTTCCTGAGATGGGAAAGCCATGAGGAGAAGTTGGTTTGGGGAAATGAAGACTTCACTTTGAGCATGTTATGTTGCAGGCTCAGTTAGACACATAAGCAGGCTTATTGAGAGAGCCACTGGTTAGGAGAGCACGTTAGAGCCTCAGGGTAGATTGGGGTGGGAAATGTCCACTTGGGAGTCATTAGTGTGTAGTGGTAATTAGAGGACCAGGTGAGTTAATTTCAGGACAGACACCTGAAGGCAGAGTTCTGGCCTCCCAACTTTCAGAGGTCTGGCAGGGGAGGAAGAACCAGCAAAAGAGATGGACAAGGAGTTTGGGAGGGAAGAAAAACCAGGATAGGAAGGTGGGAACAAAACTCGACTGAAGTGAGCTGATGAGAGAATAAAAAGTGAGAGAGGGGAGGAAGCGCTAGGAGTAGAGTGTTTGAAGGTTGCTGTGGAAGGAAGCAGAGAGATAGGGTTGAATCTGGATGTAGGGCTGGTGGTCAGGGAAGGATTTCTTTATTTTGGATGGGTGTATTAAAGCATCCTAGGGTCTTGCTGGAGTGGTCCAACAGGGAATGAGAAATTAATGGTTCAGAGAGGGGGAATAATTGCAGGAATGGGGTCCAGAAGTGGGTGAGGTGGGATAATCAAGAACCTGAGTACAGGGGTTGCCCTTTGGATGGGACTGGGGACAAGGGGCCCTTTTGCACTGTAACTGGTGGGGAGTGGGTACAATCATCGGGTTTAACAGGAAGATGAGGTAGCTCTCAGCTCACACCTCCTCCCACCCTCTGTCTTCCTAGTAGACTCCAGCTCTGTTGCTGTCAGGTTCTCCCTTACTCTAACCGGCACATGTCCCCTCTGCCCTGCACTTGTTGTAACCATCATTTGAGTCTGTAAACCAAGCCTCTGGAGAACAGCATTTGTGTCCTACAGTTGCTGATGACACAGTAATATTTCAAAAATACTTGGTGATTAAAAGTGAGCTATGACTACGTGGCAGTGAAACCTTTTTTGAAAAAATAGGGTATTGTTTTTTCGTGTTGAGCTCAAAGTCACACCTATTCTGGGAGTGCCCCCTTTGCTTTGAGTATTCCTTTGAGAATCATTTTTAGAGGCAGTAGAAGATCCTTTTGAATATCAAACTTCTGAGGGAAGGGAAGCAAACTTCTGAGACCTATTTTGGTTTTTTAGAAATAATCCAAATCCATTTCTTTCCTAGTTTTATGAGTTGGCATGATCCAAGTTGGGTAATACTTACATAAACATTTTTTAAAAAGTGGGATCATAAATTAACTCCAAATGTAGTACCAAGAGAAGCTTAAGAATTGCCTGATAACCCTGGCAACAGACTTAATAGGGCGAGTCTTTTGACATCCGAGACTGTAATGAAGGTAAGAAGGGGCCACCATAATACAGATAAGGGGTGCAGAGGTGGGACTGCTGTGTAATCTGCCTCTACCAGGCTAAAGTCTGAAGGGAAAGTGCTTCTGTCCTCTGACCCCATGTGGATATTGAAACAGTTAAAGGTTCTCTAAGAGTGTGCCCAGCATAGGGTGCAGTGTGTGAAGTATTGGCATATCAGGTAACACAAGTATACAGGATAGTGTGCTGGAGCATGGTGTGCAAATGGCAGGTTGAGCTAAGGACACTGGAAGAGGTAGGAGATAAACCAAGGCTCTTCTAAAGAGATTGTATGTTCTTCTGATCACAGTACTTTAAGAGCTGAAATTCATGAAGGTCCCTTTGACTGGAGTTCATGGATTATGGTTAGGGAGAGACTGGGGTATGAGTTCCCAGCAAAAACAAAATGGTCATGCTCTAAGTCAGGTAGTAGCAGTACAGATGGAAGAGACATGTTAAGGGGTAGAGTTGGTAGGACTTAATGGTCAGTGATACAGAGTGGGTGTTGGGCCTAAGGATGAATCCTAGGCTTCCAGTGTGGGCATCCAGGGACATCCAGGTACCCTTAGGACTGGGACAGTTTTGTAGGGAAAGGAATAAAAGTGGGCACTGTAAAAGAAAAAGTTTTCTCTTTTGTTCTTCTTGGAAGTAGTAAGATTGCTGCTGGTCCTAAGCTTCATTCTGTATTCCAGATCAACTCTTTGAGGTGGCATTTCCATCTCAGCAAAACATCTTTTTCTGAAATTAAATGTGTTACCTCTTGCAAAGACCCTGGGATAAATAAGGCCTTTGAACTGGAACAGGAAAGAGAGGCAATTCTAAAAAAAGAGTCCTTTTCTAAAAGTTTTTCGCTTTGGATTTCTTAGCACCAGAAGGGAATGGGGGAGTTACGGCTTATGTGACGGTTCTACGGGAGGATGGCAACATTATCCATCTTCAGTTCTGAGCTTGCTAAGGCTTTTATCAGAGAGGGTCTGTGAACACACAGCAGGATGGAGGGGGGCTGCCCAGTGCTGGCTTGACAGCATTCACAGTAGCACAGTTGAAGTTCTCTAACTGAAGAGGGCAAGTTTTCTCACAGGGTCTTCCAGAAGTATCTGACATCTGCAGGAGTCCCTAGAAGTGAGGAATCTAGGGATTTGAAGGCTGAGGATGGATGAACTGGTGACTTGTTTCCGTAACTCCAGATTTTCAGGGACACTGAGGTGCCTCATTTCTAAAAGATCAAACTCAGTGAGAAGGGCTGCCCACCTCCCTTCCTTCACATGCACATGCTCCAGTAAAACCAAACCAGCATTTAAATTCAACAAATACTAGTGCTTTTCTGTAGATTAATAACTTCGTGTTTTGAAGAAAACCTTAAAAGGAATATACCCTGATTTTTTTTTCTTTTGCCTAAGCTCTTTCCACCAAAAAAGAGGATGAACAGGTGTGTCCCTTTACATAAAAACATATGTGCAAACATTCTAAAATTTATCATATGAAGGCAGCTATTCCCAGAAACTTTTTGGAAAAAATGACATTTAACAACAAAAAAAAACCAAACCTAGGAAGGGCTTAATCACAATATTCCCAAGTAAAGATAGTCCTCATATTAGGGTTCTTCAGAGAAACAGAACCAATATGCTATGTCAGTCTGTCCATCTGTCTGTCTACCAGTCATCTATCAACTGTGTATCTAGGTTTACTTTAGGGAACTGGCTCGAGATCGTGGAGGCTGGCAAGTCCAAAATCCACAGGGCAGGCTGGCAGCCTGGACCCAGAGAAGAGTTGATACTGAGGCCTGGGGCCAAAGGCTGTCGGCTCGCGGAATTCCTTCCTCCTTGGGGAGGTTGGTCTTTTTTCTGTGAGGGCCTTCAGCTGACAGGATGAGGCCCACCTACATTACGGAGGGTAATCTGCTCTACTCATAGCTTACTGATTTAAGTGTTAATCTCACCTAAAAAATACCTCCACAGAAACATCTTGAATAATATTTGGTCAAATATCTGAAATGTCTGGGTCCCCTGACTTAGCCAAATTGATCCATAAATATAACCACCACAGTCCTCTTAACTGAACAGATGGAGCGTTGTGAAAGATTAATTGATATGTGCTTATTGTTCTTATTGTTCAGAACTTTCCTTGTGACTACGGTGGTCCCTTGACTTGTGCTTGGGAAACAGTAATAGTACCAGGAGTGTGCTGTGGCATTGCAGTGTTTCGTCTTCCCGCCCCTTGGGCTGGCATTGTGGATATGCAGCCAGGGCAGACAGAGAGGGCTTTGTGCTTACATGGACCCCACACTTGTTTTACTGTTGTGCACTTGCCATCTTGAAATTCTTACTTTTTGAACAAGGGGCCCGTATTTTAAATTTGAACTGGGTCCCAAATTATGTAGTGGGCCCTTGTGTACACCTTTAGTGATTAGATAGATATATTGTACTCATTCAGGAAGTAGTCACTTCTACACGTCCGTCCCAGAGCTGGGTTCTAGAGAATGCCATGGCGAGAAAAGGAGGCCGGCTCCTGCAGGGAGCTGACAGCGGATTGCTCTGATCTGCTCAGGTCTTCCAGGCGGCGAGGAAAGTGCATTATGTCTTTTGCAGAAGGAGTCAGGGAATAGAGCTTCATATTCATATTCACTGACTACCTCTTTACCAAGTTAACTTTATTTTTATTGTTGTTCTAACAGGTGGAAGAATCATCTCCACAAGTGTCTTCCAAACTTCAGAATCTGAGACTAAACAGTTTAACCCCCAGGCAACTTTTCAGACCTACAAATGATCAAGAAACTTAATTTTATTTCTGGTTGCTCAAAATAATTGTCTGTTTTTCCCCACTCAACACAAAATCAGTGTCATAACTTCAAATATGAAGATAAAAGTGGATGTCTGTAACTGGAGTTTTATTTTTAAGGTGTTTGTGTTTGCAGATGTTTTCAATTGTTTTGATCAAAGAAAATCGAGGCAATTTCAACATCTGTCATCATGAGAACTAGTAGCACTGGGCATAAATGAGTGAAAAAGATGTTGTATGTTAAAAAAAAAACTGTACTTTAAAAGTGTTTTACTTTTAGGATCATGCCTTATTAACTTCTACGATCACTGTGGGTGATCTTTGCCAATGGGTTGAAAGGATGGTAAAGATAAACTAATTGCATCTTTTATATTATTGACACACATTTCAGGATATCGTGTCTTCTGCTAAGTGGTCATCTCATAAGGCTGCCATTTACTCCATCCTGTTGCCTGGACCTACGTCACCTGGGATTTTTTTCCTAGAAATTCCTTCTGAGTTGGGAGCACATTGTGTTTTTTTGTTTTTGTTTTTCTTAACTGGAGATGTAACTGACATATAACATTATATGAGTTTAAGGTGTCCAACCATGTTGACCTGATGCATGTCTGTACCGCAGCGCAGTGACCACTGTAGCATTAGCTAGCACCTCTATCATGTCACATGACTACCACTTTTTTGGGAGCATGTTGTTTTGAGATACTCGCGAAATTTTTTTTTCTCTCAGAGTAATTTGATTTTTTAAATAAGAGTTTTTATTTACTGTTAAATGGAAAAGGAAAAAGTCAAAAGACTTACTGTTATACCGGTGTTTTTAAAAACAGCTTTATGGAGATCTAATTTATGTACAGTTCACGCATTTAAAATGTACATTTGAGTGGCCATTAGTATATTCACACATTTGTGCAGCCAACACCACAGTCAATTTCAGGACGTTTTTATCACTCCCAAAATCAACCCTGTACGTCTTAGGTCTTGTCCCCTTTTCCCCTCCAGCCCAAGGCAACCTTGTCTCCATTGATTTGTCTATTCTGGACATATCACACAGTGTGTGGTCCTTTGCTGCTGACTTCTTTGACTTAGCATGATGTCTCCAGACTTCATGTTGTAGCATGTATAAGTGCTTCATTTCTTTTTTTTTAAGGTTAAAAAAAATTATGTACAAACAGCTGACATTGTTTCTTTCATTGGGTAGAAGTCTTGGTGAATTCACTCAAGGAATATCGCTCAGTCAAACTTGATGAAGACTATACTCTTTGCTACTAACGGAAAAACTGGCAGCATATGTGGAGGCTTTATTTCTGGATTAGACTGTGTTGGTTGAGCTGACGTGGCGAGATCAGGAGCCCTGGCTGAGTTTTTGCAAGTGGCTCCAGTGAGCTGCAAGTGACCCATCGCTTTCCATGGTGCACTGAGGCAAAATGCCTTCATCTCTTTTTTATTATACCAAAGAATATTCCATTGTATGGATATTGTGCATTGAGTTTATCCATTCATGCGATGATGAACATTTGGGTTGTTTCCACTTTTTGGCTATTATAATTAATGCTGCTATGCACATCTGTCTACAGGTTTTTGTGAGGATGTGTGTTTTCATTTCTCAGGTATACACCTAAGAGTGGTATTGCTGGGTCATATGTAAATCTATGTTTAGTTTTTTGAGGAACTGCCAGACTGTTTTTCAAAGCAACTGGGCCATTTTATATTTACACTAGCAGTATGTGAGGGTGCCAGTTTCTCCACATTCTCCCCAACACTTCTTATTATCTGACTTTTTGATTATCGGCATCCCAGTGGGTGCAAAGTATATTTCATTATGGTTTTGATTTAAATTTTCTTCATGGCTAATAATGGGAATCATCTTTACATGAGCTATTGGCCATTGGTTTGACCTCTTCAGAGAAATATCTTTAGATCTTTTTCCCATTTTTAAATTGGGTTATTTTTCTTATTATTGAAGTATAGGGTTTTATATATTCTACATTCAAGTCCCTTATGAGAAACATTTGCAGAAATTTTTTTTCCCTTTCTGTAGGGTTTATTTTCACTTCCTTGATGGTGTCCTTTGAAGCACAAGTTTTCAGTTCTGAAGATGTCCTTTGTATCTGTTGTTGTTACTTGTGCATTTGGTGTCATAGCTAATACTCCTGTTTTCCTTCTAAGAGTTAGAAATAGTTTTAAGTCTTACATTTAGCTCTGATTCATTTTGAGTTAATTTTTGTGTATGGTGAGGTAGTGATCCAATTTCAGTCTTTGGCATGTGGATGTTCAGTTGTTACAGATCCATTTTTTGAAGAGACTGTTCTTTCCCCATTGAATTGTCTTGGCACCCTTGTCAAAAATCAATTAATTGTAAATATGAGGGTTTATTTATCTCAGGAATTCTGGATTCTTGCTAGTCAGTACCACACTGTCTTCATTAACTTTGTAGTAACTTCTGAAGTCAAGAAATGTGAGTCCTCCAATTTGTTCCTCTCATTCAAGCTGTTCTGGGTCCCTTGCAATTCCACATGAATTTTAGGATCAGCTCATTAGTCTCTGTAAAGCAGCCAGCTTAGGATTTTGAGAGGATTATGTTGAATCCATAGATCTGGGGAATATTGGCAACACGGAATGTCTTTCTATTTATGGCTTCTATCATTTCTTTCAACAATGTTTTGTAGCTCCAGAGTATAACTTTTGTACATCTTTTTTTTTTTTTGGAACAGGACAAGTTTATTTAACATTCTTTTTTTTTTCCCCCTGATTTTTTTTATTGAAGTATAGTTAATATACAACATACTGGTTTCAGGTGAACTTTTGTACATCTTTTACCAAATTTATTCCTAAGTATTTTATTTTTGATGCTACTGACAATGATGTTGTTTTCCTATTTTTTGCCTGTTCATTTCAACTGTATAAAAGTACAATTGATTTTTGTATATTCATCTTGTATCGTGCAACCTTGCTAAACTCATTTATAGTTTTTATAGGTTTTTAGTGGATTCCTCAGGCTTTTTCATGTGTGAGAGTATATTATCTGCAAATAGAGGTAGTTTTACTTCTTCTCTAATCTGGATGCCTTTTATTTCATACCACCATGGCTAGAACCTCTATTAAATAGAAGTGGTGAGAATGAACATCTTTGCCTTTATCCTGTGATTTTACAAGGCCTGCGGCAATCTGCAAAAATGAAAATGTTGGGACTATGGATATATATTTTTTTAAGGTAGTGTAATTAAAATTTGTACTTTTTATAGCTATTGTAAATGTATTTCATAGAATACATGTAATATTCTCTGAAGGCAGATGTTGCGATCCTTGAGTTAAGATCTATCTTTGTCACTGAAAATAAATGTGCCATTGGTGGGGGGTGTTTTGTTTGAGGCTGTTTAGCCCGTTCACAGATGTTGTACATCTTGTCCTTATAACAGTCCTGCAGTGCAGATACGCACTCTGTTTCACAGGTAGTGAAGCTAAATCATGGTAAGTAAATTTCATACCACCAATGAGTGCCAGAGCTGCCTCAAATCTAGATCCAGTTTTAGAACCTATGTTTAACCCACTCTGCCATGTAGCTTTTCAAGTTTATGGCAAAACCTTCCTCCTTTAGAAAATTGTGTAACAATAAGCATGTGTAGGGCTCAGTCTAGAACATGAAAATATACTCAAAGGAACAAAAAAAAATACACACACCATGTTGTTTTTTTTTGCTTTTTAAAATCACTGTTTATTCCATTTGATAGAGGGTTTTTCTTTTTCCATACAAATATTTGCAACAATTTTGAATTCCCCAAAACCATACATTGACGATAAATACCATGCTAATAAAGTATTAAATTTGTACAAAAATACTTTACAGCTTAATACTTGTTTGTTACAAATAAAAATACATATTTAAGTGACTCATGATCTTTTTTTTTTTTCCTTAACATGATTCTGCTTTATACTTTCTTGCCCTGGCGGTTCTGAAATATGGTTAAAATATTATATTTCTTTGCACAAAAAGAAAGGTGAGCTTTTTCCTTAAACACAGGACACAGTGTTTAAATGCTTTACCTAAGCAGTTGTTTGAATTATTGACCAAAGTGAAAATGTTTGGAAAGTAATTGTTTCAATATGGAGATTCTACAATCAATATACAGATCTTTTTTAATATTCACCAAATAACAGTTATTAGTGTAACTATTCAAAATATCTGAACAAATGGAAACAGTTGCTGACAAACATTCAAAGCAACTGTCACAATTTATTGCTTTGAGGGATGGCAATAATTGGCAATGCATTTTGTGAAAAATGTATTTACAATTTCAGTAACTAGCATGGCTCAGAACAAAAGATAGTCCAGTGTCATTTTTAGGTACATGTGCTGTACACCCCTCAATATAACCAGTTTTCAAAACATGTCAAGCAATATGAGTTTGATTTGCCTATTATTAAGATAAACCTCATTTTAATAGACTCTTCATTCGCTCTTAAATTCTTAATCTTGAATTTTAAAAATAAGGTAACTAATTCTCAGTGTTACTAAACACTAATTCATTATCAGAGATTTTTCAGCTATTAAAAATATGTGTCCTTAAAAAAAAAAACAGGTCACAAGACATATCCTGTTTGATAATTTGTTGCATAGGGAATAGCATACATCTTAGTTAAAATCATTCCTATACTTGGGCAAAACATTTACCACCACCTATTAAGGTCTCCTACGTGCATCATTGCTGAAACGTTTTAAGACAGCTCTATACCTGTACCCCTCCCACAGTAGCAGTCCCAGCAGTTTACCAAACTCTAGCCCCTCTAGTAGAGCCAGCTTTATGAAAAGCCTTGTTGGTCAAGTTCTCACATTAATGACTTCATAGTAAGAAACTGATCTCAAAGTGAATTAAGGAAATTATCAGAATTTTTTCAAACACATTTCTCTTTTTAAAAAGTGATAAGATGAACTTGTAAAAAATTTCCTCTGATGTTGATTGTGGGGAGGGGTGGCCTACCTAGTTTTGTTTTTCTCTACCATTGGGCTTGGCAAGGAACTGCCTGCCGTATACCATAGTGGTCACCAAAAAAGAAGGCTCTTCAACTTGGAAAGGGAAGTGAACATGAGCCATGAGATTTAAAAGACCCCTGTGCTTGCAGTTAATGCCACATGATTATCTGTGCTTTAAATGTCACAGAAATCTTAAAGGGAATTTTTAGCACCATGTAGATATTGTCTTTTGTCCTGCATCATAAGAAGCGTTGCTATAATGTATTAGTGGGTTCTCGTATCTCCAAATTACCACTGTGACTAGGCTGTTGGAAAAAAGCACTGTTCTGTTCACTCCATTCTCCTCCGGGTAGACTCTGTTCTATAGACTTCTGTGAAGCCACTGGGTTTCTACTAATAACCAGGTCCAGCTTATTGCCAGATTCCGCTATGAGGGGCACAACAAGGCAACAGTCAAAGTCTCTTGTTCGGACGTGATTCACCTGAAAGGTTAAGAAGAGCCATTTTGAATACTGTAGTCATCAGACAGATCTGCAAGCTTCTGAGTAACGCTTTGGGTGCACCAGGTTGTCTTGAAGGTGTGTGAGGGGCGCCCAGGGCAGAGAGTCTCTCCCTGCTGACTGCTCCATAACGTGGTTGCTGGCTTACTTCTCTACTATGCGGTAAGGCCCTTGAGAGCACGGAACCAGGATGCGCCTGCTAGCCCCATGCTGAGCAGACGGCTCACTTGTGGCAGGTGTTCCAAGTGCTGGGTATTATCCCCAATTTACAGGTGAGGACAGTGAGGCACAGTGGTTAAGATGTTGCCTCAGCTTAGCAGTTGGTGAGTGGCCAGCTAGGATGTGACCCCAGACAGTCTAGCTGATGCCAAAGCCCGTGCCCCTGCCCACGGTGAGAAGTGAGCCTGTTCCCCACCCCCCAGCTTACACACAGGCCTGTCTCATTTCTCCCCAGTTGTTGCAGGTCTGGGACCTGACACGCATGGTATGTATAACCCCGATTGTCCAATACAGGCATTGCGTCTCAGCTTCCCATCCCCTTTGGCCTTTGGTATTGGCTGCTTCTGATACCTACTCATCCTTAAAATCTCCTTCCTTGGCTCTTAGGCCATCACCTTGTTTTGATCTTCTTACCATTTTACTGCGCACTTTCAGTCCTTTCCTCCCTTTAAATTTTGTTTTTTTTTTTGCATTCTCTTCTTGGCTCTCTTCTCTTACTGTAAGTCCACCATAGGTAACTTTATTCAAACCCATGCCTTCAGTATCCTAAACCTTTAGCTCTGGCTCTAACATCTGTCCTGAGCAGCAGATCCAAACTGCCAATGGCCTTCCAGACTGTTCTACCAGGATGTGCGGAAGGCATGAAAGGTTCAGGTCTGACCCAGGCATCTTACCCACACCTACCTGGTCTCCTTTGCTGGGATCCTCCCCTTCCCGTCCCTACTCCAGTCTACCAGTGACATTATTGTATTGTCTTTCTAAATTACAAATTATGTCATTATTCTGCTTAAGAAGTTAATATGCCTCCAGAATAAAGGCAAGAGCTTTTTCATGGCATCCAAGGCCCTTCACAGTCCAACTCTAGTCTCCTTTTATAGCTGCCACTTCAATGAATGTAGGTATAGCTCCAATTTATAGATTAGGAAGACATTCACAGAGGTTAAATAAGTTGTCCACATTTACTCATTCAGCAACTATGAGAGTATCTGGAAAATAAAGGTTCCTAGGAGAACTTGAGAAGACTACTTGTTGTATTGCTATGGTAAAAATGATTGCCAGCATTGGCTTTAAAATTATATAACTGATCAATGGCAACTTGCTCCAGTGAACTCATGTCTAAAGTCAAATGATCAGTGCAATCTCATGCTTTGAAAGTCAGCTGTTTGGTAGTAACAGACTCATTCCAGTTGAATATGCTTTCAAGACTGACGTCAACCCTCCTTTTCCTGTGAAATGCTCTTCCTAGAAACTGTATATAAAATCAGGAATTTGTTATGCTCAGTGAAACTACACGTGACCACAATAGTATTGCATTATGTAAAGAATGTTCAACCTTTTGGTTGCAGATACTGTGTGAATATTGAGATACAAGCAGTGTATAGTGGGAAATGGGAGAACAGGGTACTAACACTGTTCTCAAGAAGTTTATCATCTGTTGGGGAATAGATAACAGGAGAACAGGCAGTTTCAAAGACTGGCAAGTTCTACCAAAGGAAAAAGTTTCTGTCCTATATAGGAGGGGCCCCTAGTCTAGTCTGGAGGCAAAGGATGGGTGGTCATTGGTCAAGTAAGGCTTTGAAGAGTCAAATTTATTATAATTATACCTGGGGTTTTACCTGTAAAAGTCTGTCATAGGGCTTTAAGCCACCAAGATCTCCTGGTCCAGCTGGGCGAATATTTTTGACATACACTCCTTTCTCCAGCAAGCCATCTGCTACACTGAACCCGAAGTCCTCCATGTCAGAGCCCTTGTACAAGGTCACCTGGAAAGAAAAAATGTGGAGACTTACTGTGAAACTTCTGGAGAATTATTTATGAAATTACTTGATGAACGACCTTTCAAACTAATTTCAGTAACTGATTTGTTATATACTAGGCAGCCTCCCACAACCCTGTAGCTTCTTCCCTTCTCCAGGAACATTCTTGGAAGTCCCACCCAAAACTGAAAAAGGACAAGGAGACTGCTGAGAGGTTTCTTTTTTTTCTGCAAATCACAGTCCTCAGGTGTAAATAGCTGAACATTTTCCCAGGCCCAGGTTGACTTCCCTATTTTCCTGGAGCAACTCCCTGCTGTTGGGAGAGCCCCAGGCAGGGCTTTGCTGCTGTTGTATATCAGGACCAAGCCAAAGGCCTTTCTTTCCTGCCCACCCTCCCTGGTGCTGTGCTGGGAACAGTCCTCTGCATAGCCTGTCCCTTTGAGCAAGTGCCAGGGAGTCCATCATTTTAGTTGTTTTGGTACCCCAATCAGCCCTTCAGTACCACTGGCAATAAATGACTTTAAAGACCTAAAAGCGTTCTTGTAACAAACACCTTGCCTGGCTTGAAAAGCAACCTCTGTACTTGTCCAGGGTTTGGTTTAGCAACTCAAGGCATTCACCCTTCTCAGCTACAGGCCTCACTGGTCTCTGCACCTAAGGCCAGGTACTTCTAGCCAAAGCTTCCCCCAAACACCATTCCTCCACCTGACCACCTGCAAGAGTTAGTTGGAGGTTCATACAGTCATCAAATGTATACTGAGTACGTTCCATGTTCTAAGCATGGTTCTGAGTGCTGGGAAACAGCAGTGAAGGAGAGAGAAAAGCCTGCCTTCCAGAGGCAAACACTTGTTAATAGGTAATATATACTGAGCACCCACTATGATGGATGCTTCCAGGCAGTGCACTCAGCACTTTGCATGCATTTAATGCTTTGAGGTGGTGACTGCTTTTACTAAGCCTCACAGGAGGCTCTCTGCACACTTCCATCAATGATTTGGGCTTCCATTTTAAAACTACAATAGTTAAAAAAATATTTTTATTTTTACACAAGTAATACATGAAAACTCTTAGAAAAATAGTAAAAACGTTCAGAGCTGTACAGAAAAAAGTGAGGATTAAAATTTGCATAGCATGTTTATTTCTTTATACCCAGTTATTTTACTTCAGACAAACTGTATTGAAGCAAATACAGAAGTTATCAGCTAATGG